TCCTTTATTCTTATCTATATTTTATCACCATCTATAGTATTGAGACATATTGTTGATCCAGTCTGAATTGGCATGGAGTACATATGCACCTTAGTACATTCACTAGTATCACATATTTTCCGACTAGATGAAAGGTATAGGGTTTTGTCACATACATGATATTTAGGTGCTACAGCAGTTTGTAAAGCCAATCCAGTTACTAATACTCAAGCTGCAGTACCACCTAATCTACGATTTAGGTTTTCAACAACACTCTTTTTTAGTTCTTCACTATATCTATTGGCTGCACTTTCATCTTGACATATTTCCATATAAATCTCCTTTCTCAATTTTAATCTTGATTCTCTTATCATATCATTCAACTTTTGTGAATTTGTGATTATTAGTCTGAACATTATCTGATTTTTTGCCCCTGTGATTTTATTTAGTTTTTTTTTTTTACTTTATTTGCTCTAGAAATGTCATTTCTAGTCAAGAGCCACCATAATATACTAAGTAAAATCATATTATTAAATTTGTTTTTAAAACAGGTCATGGTTAACATAATACATAATGATGTGACTACAGCAAATGCTGGTATTACCCATTAATTCTTACATTTTTCAAACTGTTGATTACATGCACAATATATTCCACAATTTTTGCATTCAACATCCACAACCAGATGACCATGATCATTATCACATTTCCATTTTAGCAAGCCTACCACAAAACTATCATGTATATACGCTTCATTATTTAATGTAATTTTTTTAGTCATACCATTTATATTTATATGGCAGTTATTATAGTTGCCAATTGTTGATTCCATGATTAACCATTACCTCTGCTTCTATAGGAATCATAGTTAAGATGAGATGCATCAGAATACCCTTCATGGTATAGACCACAGTGTAATTCTTAGTAGATTTATATATCCCTAGCGAGCAACCCGGGCTCGATCCCCGCCGGCACCAATGAAATTGTTAATTGCAATTTTAAGTGCTGATTTACCACGTGCTCGGCGGTGAAGGAAAACATCGTGAGGAAACCTGCATATCTGAGAAATAAAAGAAAAATAGTATTTTGAAGACATGTGAAGTTCGCCAACACGCATTGGGGCAGCGCGGCGGACACTTACTTGCCCTAAAATCCTCTCAAAAAATGAGAGGAGGCCTGTGCCCAACAGTGGGACGTATAAAGGCTGCAACTTTTATATATCCTGCTGCTGCTGCTGCTTCGTGGAATGTCGAAATTCGTTATTATTGCTTCAGTTATCTGTCTGTCTTTTAAATTGTTTTTCAATTCTTGTCCTTTACATCGATCACATTCACCATACGTACATTTTTTTGATTTGATATCACAGAAGATTTTCTAGTACTTTATATTTTGACAAAACTCCAAGTTTTTGTAGCGCAGAGAACATTTTTTCAAAATTGCTATGTTTGATACAGATGCAAGTATTTATTTCCTGTACAGTAAGTGTCAAAACATAAAAAGGTCTATGCTTATAAAATGTAGTAAACAATTTTGTTCCGCCCTCTGCTCGATAAATCTGAGATACATTAAATACCGTATCGGTAAGATATCTAATCAGCTCTTTTTGTTTTTTCGATGCGCGGCCCTCTTATTTCCCAGACGTACTTTTGTTTATATCATCTATCAAGAAAAAACTTTGTATTTCTTTGCATATTTCATTTTCTTTTATTTTTAGCTAATTTTCGTGCTATTCCCTTTATACCTAATAGTTTAGAAACAAATGTTTTCTTTTTTAATTTTTTGTGATTTCTTTTTCAGTTAAAGTTTTACAAACATTCCTTTCTTCGTGTTTCTTTCTTATAACGATATTTTCAGGTTGACGAAAGCTGTAGGCCAACAATCTGCTGCTCATGTTACGCCGTAATGCAGAGCAGATCATTTTACCTGCATCTGTTTCCAGTGATATTTCGATGGTGTTGACGTTTTCAAATAACACGCAAATTACGGGAATCACTAAAGAACTCTGGTATTGGTCACCACTCACCAATTTAGTTGCGTATTCGAATAGTACTTTAACATTTACTACGTCTTTGCCAATTTTTTCTTCAGAAAAAATGAGTAGTGCCAGTTCATCGGACAATTTTAGTATTCTGGTTATCGTATGAAATTTATTGTTTGGTTGACGATAACTCGGACTAATAATCTAATTACAATAAAACCCGGTATTTATACTAATAATGAGTTGCTCAATTAGCACGTAATCCAGCGACGTCCCCACTTATCACCTACCTACCCATTCCGCGAACTTAAAAACGCCCCCTCGTATACATAAGGATTCAGATACTCGGTGTTAAGTTTATAGGGCTGCCAACATCCAAAATAAATAGTTTTATTTACTAGAATTAAAAACCGGTTTTATCATGTTTTCTTAAAACCGGTTGAAATTAATATTAACAAAGATTGTAGCCTGGGCTTTCATTAATAAAGGTTTTCATTGTATTTCGTAATAACCCTAATGTATAATATTTACGTATAAAATTTTCATACATATTATGTGGCTTTAAAAGTGTGTACAGAATTGGCCTTAATGCAGCTATTGTACTTTTCAAGTTTCCATGTAAGTTCCGTGACCCTAAAATGGACAAAGTAACCACATAAAAAACTGGCAGATAAAAATGGCAATTTTTTTAAAACTACCCAAGTTTCTCTATTTAATTAAATTAAATTTCATGCGGGGTATTTTTTTATTTATTTTCTGAAAATTATTACATAATCATGTCATATATACATATATATTGTATAAGCTACATATGGAAACCAGATGCAAATCTTTGTCTCTGTGTTTGCTTCTGTATTTCTGTCAGTTTACCATTTTTATTAATTAAAATGTTTGGTCGGGCTGTGCATGTGAAATAGACGGATAGTGATAACGAGTTTCGAATATCCGGCACAGTTTCAGATGATGAAACTTCGAATGTTCGGCTTTTAGACATACAGCGCAAGTACAGAGCAATGTCATAAAAAGGTAATTGCCTCGTATGTATACGTACGTGTAAGAAACACTTTCGTCCTTGTGATCTTCATTAAAGACTGTTAAACGTGGTTGAAAAGCTGGTGTTGTATTGAAGTAATATACTGCTACTTAAGAATGCAAAACTAAATTTCAGTATGGTACACTTATTACCATTACTTTTTTTTAACAGCATTTGTTTATTCACTGCCAGGTATAATCCTTTTCAAGAATTCGTGAATTAGTTTAAAATTTTAAAGATTTTTTTCCCTCATTACAATTTGCATTAATTAATCTAAATTTTTAAATTTATAAGTTTTTTATAGTGCATCTTTATCAATATCTGTATAATATATATGTAATAGGCTCGATGGTCCGTATAGTAACCGGATATCTGTTGCATTTCCAATGTAAAATACACTTATATAATATTAGAGATTATTTAAAAGGATATATTATGTGTTTCTCAGTAAATTAAAGAATATTACGTTTTTATTTATGTGTTTAATTTAACGGAAATATCTACATACATACCCATATATTTAACGTATAAGATTAGGGTCAATATGATTTTTTAGTATGCACAAACGTTACAAGCAGGTCACGTATCTGCCACAACTACTATTTATTTATCTGTACAGTATAGGCTACTGTAGTGGCGGTTTGAGAATATCCACTGCCCCATATCGTCCCTAGGGTGTTGTGGAAAAGTGCAGCGGCATCTTCCTGATAACAACTCAAAATAATAAAAAACTGCAGTTGCAAACAGGCTTGCCAAGCGTAGCAAGTATGGCAAAATCGCCGCATGAGGCAATCTATGAGGGAGGGCTATGTTCAGCAACGGACTTTTATAGGCTGTAATTGATGGAATGGTGTTAATATTGTTGCGCGCCACAATTAATACCACTGGCGCCCTCTAGTATCGAGTAGCAGAACTAAGAGAGTCAAGAACCTTCTAGAAATTTCCATGGAAGAACTTTCTGGAACTATCGACACCTAGTCAATCGGGACTCGAACATTCTAGATGTTTCTACAGTAGAAGGTTCTGGAAACTATATAAGACCGGTATAGACCGTGACCGAGGCAGTATTGAATTGGCGATGTAAGCGAATACTTCGAAGCTATACAACTGCGAACTAAAGTGATCAGTAGTAAATTATTTTTCCTTTTTCGTACACTTTTCATTTAATCTATTATATTATATCATACATAATCTTCACTTATCTTTATTTGTATGTATTTTCATATTTTTATTTTTATTTTGTACGCCCCCCTCTATTTTTAACAATTTTTATCAGTTTGCATCATTTCTCTACACTAAGGTTGTCTGGAAGAGATCACTTTCAGAGTGATAAGATCGCCTTTTGTACATTTTCTACTTTAGATTTAATTGTATTCGTTTTGTTTTTTTTTTTGGTGTACAATAAAGAGTAAATAAATAAATAAATTGTGTTTTATTATTAGTGTGGTTTAAGTTGTAACTAGTGCTCTGTAATTAGTGTCAATTTTGATAATTCATTCGGCAGTTTTTAATTGTCTCGAACCCCAAGCTCGTAACAATATCGTAGAAGTTATAATAATATACAGCAAGTAGGTGCTGTTTTTGGGTATATATTAGATATCTGAAGGACTTTTACTTCCTTATAAAATTTAAAGCATAAAGGTTTTGCCCAAAAAATGCCACTAAATATGGTCCAGAGCCACCTGCATCCATCAACTTACTGCATGTTGTACCAGATAGTCATACCATCAAGTCGAGGCCGCCCCACATTATGCTTATTCGAGAACATTTCTGCAAAACAGAATGCAAAGAATGAACCTAAATATTGGTGAGAGAAGAGTATATTATATTATTTTTATCCATTTTAAAGCTTTCCATGTGACAACTCACAATAACAATATATCACTTAGAATTTTGACAGAAAAAGTTTAATACAAAATGTTTTATTGAAAATGATGATGAAATTACAAATGATGTTATGTAGTTAATTAAGTTTAAGTTAGTAGTAAAACAAACGTGCGACATTAGTTATCATTTAGGACAGGGACAAGAGTCCAGGGGCTTCTCAGCAATGTTTTCCAGACCCTCAATAACTTCAGGACATACGCATTCGTCCAAAGAAAGCCTCGGAGATTGGCTCGGCGAATGAATGTTCAGGGTGTTGCTGATCGCTTCCAATTTGTCACTGAGGCTCGGATATTCTATGCTCAGTGCCTTCACGACTTGGTTGAGGCTGTCGTTGAGTAAACGAGCCTGAGTGTACTCAGCAATAACAGCCGACTTTGGTTTCTTTACGCGCAGTGTTTGTCGTTTTACGGCTGTGGCTAGTTCGCTGCCGAAACGCTGACTTCTAACTACTCTTTCGAGGAGCTGGAAAGATCGAAATATTTATTTAAAGTCTTATGAATATAATATATGATTATACTCTGGGGACTTCACTGTGTGGTGGAGGCATAGGTGTTTTCATCCAAAACTAGGGTTGCCAGATGGTCGGGATTCATCTGGATTCTCCCGACATTTTTAATTATCCCTTGACTCCCGAAAAAACAAAATCTCCAGACAAACAGCTTCTCTTCACATCACAGCTGCCTTTGTGTTTTCATCCAAAACTAGGGTTGCCAGATGGTCGGGATTCGTCTGGATTCTCCCGACATTTTTAATTATCCCTAGACTCCCGAAAAAGCAAAATCTCCAGACAAACAGCTTCTCTTCACATCACAGCTGCCTTTTATTTAATTAAAGCTGTGTTAGTAATTAGACTGCACTTTGAAGTAAATTGTTTGCATTTTAAATCTTTTCTAAATACTATTAAAGGGTCCAAATTGGTGGACTCAGTAAAGTCTAATGTGCCGAATACATGAAACAACCTTAAAATTCAGTGTACTTAAATTAATTATGTGTCAACAACGTTAAATATTTTTGTAGCCTATTAATTTAAAATATAAACTTTTTATTTTTAATACTTATTTCTCCTGGCAACAACCCCAAAATCCTGACATTTTCAAATTTCGTCCTGATATTTAGTCTTTGGATCTGGTATTCGTATGCAAAACCGTCATCTCATTCATATGAATGGCATAAAAAGCGGCTTATAGAAATGCCCGCAAGACATTGTTGCGACATTTCCACTCAGGCATTTTCTTCTTAGTCCTAAGGCTGTCGTAGTCATACTTACTATCAGGTGGACTGTTACTTTATTGTTATAAAAATACTCACCCATTGTTTCTGTCGCTCCGTGTCACGACATTCTCGCAGCAGAGTCGCAACGTGCTCCTCTAGTTGCGCGTTCAGTGCCGAAGTGTCCGCCATCTCACGTTCTAGACGCGCTTGTTCTTTCTCCAAATACTCCATGTGCGCTTTAGCCTCTTTTAACTCCTGTCAAATGTAAGTTTCCAGGCTATATATACTACGTCCCGCTGTTAAGCACTCCTCTCGATTCTAAAAGAAATTAATTTGCCGTGATCCACCAGTGCCTGTAAGCGGACTTCATGTTCTAGAAATATTTTATTCCTCAGACATGGAGGTTTCATCACGATGTTTATCTTCATCGCGCGAGCACATGGTAAATTAACATTTAAATTTGCAATTAACAATTTAATAGATTCCGATCGAACCTGGGCTCGATCCCCGCTGGTACCAATTAAATTGGAGAAATGAAAGAAAGCCTGTGCCCAGAAGTGGGATGTATATAAGCTGTAACTAGGCACAATATTAACAAGTGGTAAAATTAAAAATTTTGTACAACCGACTTCAATAGAAATTATTAAGGATAACTCAAAAATCAATCGACGGATTCAACTCGGTTGGGCAGCGTTCGGGAAATTACGGCACATCTTCTCGTCAGGTATACCTCAAACCTTGAAAACGAGACTGTACACCCAGTGCGTGTTGCCAGTGATGACATACGGAACTGAGACGTGGTCCTTCACTGCTGGCCGTATGAGGAAGCTCAAGGTCGCTCAGCGAGCTATGGAGAGGGCTATGCTCGGAGTTTCTTTGCGTGATAAACTTAGGAAGGAGGATATCCGCAGTAGAACCAGAGTAACCGACATAGCCCAACGGATTAGTAAGCTGAAGTGGCAATGGGCCGGCCATATAGCTCGAAGAACCGACAACCGATGGGGAAGAAACGTTCTCGAGTGGCAGCCTCGTACCGGTAGGCGAAGTGTAGGGCGTCCCCCCACGAGATGGAGTGACGACCTGGTAAGACATGCAGGAAGTCGATGGATGCAGGTGGCTCAGGACCGTGCTTTGTGGCATTCTTTGGGGGAGGCCTATGTTCAGCAGTGGACTTGTGAAGGGCTGTAATGATGATGATGATGATGATGATGAACTCAAAAACTACTGGTCAGATCTTGATCTTTATATGGGACCACATGAGAAGCACCAGCTGTTAAAAAGAATCATCAAAATCGGTTCATCTAGAAAATAATTATAAGGTAACACACGTAAAAAATACAATATACAGTCGAATTGAGTACGTCCTCCTTTTTGAAGTCGATTAAAAAAGAAAACAAACTTATTAAATCGCGTGACTTCGGCGCTTCATGTAGTTTATTGAGGCGCATCACATTTGCGTCTAAGTTATACTCACCTTGACTGTGGCGGTGTAAGAATATCCACTACCCCATATCGCTCCGAGGGTGTCGTAAGAAGTGATAGAGAGACTTTTTATACGTGGTAGAGCCATGCTGCAGCTATATTAGTGGTATAGTTGTAGCACGAATGGGTCGGCTCGACCGGGGAAGGACCACGCTCTCACAGAATACCAGCGTAAAATAGCAGCTCAATGCTGCTGTGTTTCGTATGGTAAGTGCTCTACACTTACCATAACCGGAGATCCTTTTTACTGGAAAAGAGGTATTTCATCTTAGTCCTCACGGGTGACAACGCATCTGCATTTTGATTAGTAAACGGGGATAAATGTAGATATCTATGGACCACAACAACCACTTACCATCAGGTGGACTGTGTGTTCATGTGTCACTCTATGCTATAAAAAAAAGGGAAACAAACCAGTAGATGGACAGCAGGCGGTCTTTTTAATAACGATTAAAAAATAAATAAAAACTACAGTTGCCTGCCAAGCGTGGCATCTGTGGCAAATATTCCCTTTTGAGGCAATCTATGGAGGAAGCTTATCAGCAGTGGGCTTTTGATAAACTGTAATGGTATACTGGTACTGGTATACTGACTTTATTGAGACGGGTGACGTCGGCCCGTGCCAGCCGCAGCTTGTGGTGAAAAGTGGACTGCGCGGTGAGTGCGGCGCCCCCGTGCGCCTTCTCCACGGCGGCGGCTGCACGGCTCTTGTCCACGGCGGTCTCGCGTCTCGTCACGTACAGCGCCAGATCTTCCGCTAGCTTCTCCCCTGTGCGACGGAGTTGATCACGGCGTACCTGCAAAATTAATACGTCACTAAAGCAGCGAGTGATTTGTTACTTAATTCCCTATCCACAGGATGTACGTGGCGGTTTTTTATAAAAAAAAAAAAATAGTTACAATCTATTTTCTGTTATGTAAATGCTGTTAGTCTATACGGCTCTTACAGCTTCATCTGATACAGGGCTCGCGGCTTCTCAGCTATTTAAAACGGAAAGACAATGAATTTACGGATTGTAAATGGTAATAACCTGATTATAAATGGCCGCTGTAGTCTATAGACACCTTTTTTATAGTTTCGTATCGTAAATCCTCATGTATACCTTCATTCTTCAATTATGTGTCAAAATGCAAGAATAAATTATGTGTGTTAGTGCTATAATGTAAAAATATGTCGCATACCTCCATTTTGTGTATTTCATTTTTCATCTGACCGATTTCTCCTGCAGCGGATTTGGAGTTTTGTATACTCCGTTTGAGTTCTACAGCAAGAATACCCTGTAAACATGTGGAATTTTAATGGAAAACGTAAGAGTTTACATACTATGTGTCCATTGTTGGTAAATCTTCTCATTTTTGGGTTTCAGCTCAAGTAAAAACAGTGCCATGATTTTTTTCTTTTATTCATTCATTACAGCCTATTAAAAGTCCACTGCGGAATATGGGCCCCCTCCAAAGATTGCCTCAGAAGGGGGAAATTTGCCATAGTGGCCACGCGTCGTTTACGTGGCAACCGTTGTTTTTGAAATGAAAACTTAGAATCGTTGAGATTTTGAAACTACATAAAACGAAAAAGCGACACTTAAAACAGACAAACATATACATCTATAGGATTTAGCCTGCGAGAGATTACAGTGTACAGTGTTTGTTACTAATTTACTTATAGTTTAACTAGATAAGCTCCACATTTATCCTATTTTTGATAGTTTGCATCAGTCTCGTTCTCTCAAAGTTTAGTTTTCTGAAGATTTCACTTCCACCGTGTGTGAGCAGCACACATGTTCTTTTTATTTTCCAGATATTATTACGACTACCCCCTTTCCCCTGGTGTTGCGGTTGTTCATGAGCGGCGGTAGTCACTTACCATCAGGTGAGCCGCAGGCTCGTTTGCCCCCTCTCCTATATAAAAAAAGACCCATTTTCTGATTTGTTTCCCTGTGTTGTCTCTTACAACATCTACCAATGCTATCATTGTGGGCCATGCATTTAGTTGCTAATATTTATTACTAATTAATTTTGAAATGTTATCCTATCTGATGTGATAATAGACGTAACGAGGACGCTACATTTATTTTCAAATAACTAATTCGAAACGCACTTTCTTTTGTTTTAAAGTTGTGGTTTTAACCGCTTCCTTACTTACCTAGTAAGGAAGCGGTCCTTACTAGGTACCCATTGCTATTAATTTTGTACAAAATTAATTATATCAACGAATTCCAACCTTTCTCTGCCAGATCAACGCTTCCCTTTGTACTCGATCTAATTCTTGTGTCAGGTTAATCTTCTCTTTTTCTAGAGCCTCAATATCCTCTTCCAACTCAAATATTTCTGATTCTGCATCCTGAAAAATTAATAAATTCAAGTTACTAAATAAATTTATCATTTACAGCCTATAAATGTTCACTGCATAACATATACCTCTTCCATAGACTACCTCATAGGGGGGATTTTGTTATAGTTGCCACGTTTGGCAGGCGGGTTGGCAACCACAGTTTTTTATTACTTTGAGTCGTTATCAGAAAGATGCTACCACTCGTCTTCTGTTTTCCTTCTTTTTGTTTTGTTGTTGTTCTTTCTGCCACCTCTTACGACACCCAAAAGGCGATATGGGGTAATTTACATTCTTACACCGCCACTATACGGTAAATAAATTACTCACTTTTATTTTATTTCATCAAATTAAATTTCATTACAGAATAATTTGCTGTGACCCATAGATATATTATATACATCTGTCCTCAATTAAGATTGAATATGCAGTTGCGTTCTCACCTTTGAGGACTAAGATGGAATGCCTCGTTTCCAGTAAAACTGTTCTTCAGTTCTCTACACTTACCAAACGAAAGAGCAGTATTAAGTTGCTATTCCACGCTGGTACACTGTGAGAGTGTGGTCCTTCCCCGATCGAGCTGATCCATACGATCTGCAGCTATAAAACACGCTTCAGCGTGGCTCTAACAATTACTATATTTAACTTTTACGGCACTCACGAGACCATATAGTCTCTTATGTCATGCATAGTCGTTTGACAATCCTTGAAGAATTTGTCTCTATTGAAATAGAATATCAGTCTGCATGACATCGTTACGCACAGCGGCGTACAAATAAGTATTGAATTTGTGCTACAACCATAATATAACTGCAGTACTCTACCCCGTATAAATAACGTCTCTTGTTTTTTCCCTCACCTTAAGGCTAGCTGTATATTCATGCGTAATAGCAGCATTGGTGCGCTGTGCACCGGCATTGCGCTCGACCGCGTCTTTGCGCGTGCGTTGTATAACTTCAAGCCTCCCGCGCAGCGAACGTAACGAACGATCGACGTTCGTGCGCTCTTGCGCAATGCGTTCGCACTCGGCTTGAATGCGCATTGTCTTCTGATCACATATTTGAATCTCTGGAAAATCACACTATTCGTAGAATTATAATAATAAAACATAATAATAATGAAACATAACATTCGGCTTAGTATTAACATTTAGAAAGCATGCTCGTTTACATACTCTTCTATAACAAAAATGTTTTAAAAATTGTTTGAAGCGACAGTAGCCTAATGGCAGTGTCCGAACCGCTAACTTAAAAGGTCGTGGGTTCGAATCCACCATTAGACTACTGTCATGAACTACTCCTAACACTAGCATTTTAAGCTTACCAGGAATAGTTAAAGGGAATATTAGCAATGTTCATAGCATTCCTAGTATTTAAATAAAATATGCTACCATTAATTTGTGAGGGATTGAAGGTTGCTATACTAGGATTCCTCGTATGACAGATCACCAGCCCCCACTTATATATATATATAATAAATAGTGGGACAGCCAAAAATTTTAAAAATTGTTTTTTAATTATAAATATTGTATATACTTTCTTATGCAATTTAATAATTTATAGATGTATAGATATTATGGTTGACGATAGATTTGCAATGCGTTTGCTGGTACGATGAGCCTTTCTTCCCTATTTTTAACAATAAAAAACCTGTTTATCATACACCTAATATTAGGTACTTAAGTTTTAGATAGATAGACCTATCTATAACGTTCTATACCTTTTACAGTGCGTCTTCACTTTCCCCTAAAGAAAGTAGCGCCTTAAATCGTTTACCGCTGATAATGCCTCACGTTTGACAAAATCGGAATGGACTCTCCTTCATCTTCATTGTCATCGCTTAGAGCGTCTTTTTGGGTGTTATTCACATGTTCAATAAGATCTTCGATTGAACGGGTTTCGTAGGGTGTAACATTGTCATCAATGCAAGAATATCCAGAAAACGCTGCGGTATCGCGGTTTCTTCTTCCGTTATTTTGGAAACCTGCTTTCTTGAAACAATTTTGTATAGTTTCAGACTTACTTGCTTGTCATGCCGCTACAATGTTTAGGATCGCATCACGCACAGTCAAGGGTCGTTTGCTGTCAGAGTCTTCCATTTCTTTAAGATAGCGATGTATCAATCGTCTTCTGTAGCCTTGTTTAAGGACTTTTATAATGCCCTAATCCATCCTTGCAACTTGCTTGTCGCATTCGGACGTAAGAAAACAAACTTGATGTTCTTTAGTTCAACATCTTTAGGGTGAACTTAGTGCGCAGGGTGCGCATACATGCGGGGTATCAGCATCAGCAAGACGATAAGTGAGCGCGCTCGGCAACTCTCGGGTCGGCTCGGGTGTTGCACAGACGGTGTATTAGACGGGATGACGAATCGAATTTTAGCGTGTTAAAAATGTATGAAAACAGCTAGGGCGTCCCTGACCGTCTCTGTCACTTACTTTTGCAGCATAAATTTGCTTTCTCACTCTTTCCTTATTCATTCTTACTAAGTGTCTAATCCCGGAAATTGTTCTACAATACTTAGTGGCGCCCGGTTTCGTCTCAAAATAATACGGTCTTCTTATCTAAATTAAAAAAAAATAAAGTAACAATATACATGTGCGTTCCACGGTTGAGCTCAGGCCTTCTCTCATAGTTCTAAGGGTTTTGAAGTAGGTAAGAGCCTACCGCTCTGCCCGCGCCTTAGTAGCGGATTTCATATCGCCTTGAAGTCATTTTAATTCCTTTCTTAGATTCTTAATCAACGATAAATATAGGTGTCATCTGGTTGCTTTGGTATGACCTGGTGAACTGTGTGCTCGTTTTTCACACTTATTCGATAAAAAAGGAAACTAGTTCTTACGTTTATTAATGAGGTTGATGTCCGTAAGTATGGTGTGGTGTTGCGCTGCGAGCTTCACGACGTGGCCCTGCAGCCGTAGCCACTCGTGCTGAGCCCGCTCGGTCCTCTCGCGCAGCTCTCTGATCTGCTGCTCCAGTTCTTCGATGCGACGCTCCTGTGGCGATTTCATCTGGGAAATCAAATTTGACTTTATTATGTACCCTTATTAATATAAATAATAATGTCACGACCATATTTTGGTTTCTGCTGTTACAATGGAGAGTATCCATCTACGCAGGACAGTTACAGTGCAGTTAGAGTTAGTAGTAGACAGTTAGTGTGTGCGCACGCACATATGCACTTTCTTTTCCATCACTAATAGACCGGTGAGAGATCAGGCACAGAACCAATGGCTTTACGTACTTTCTGAGGCACACGGGTGAACCAACGAACCAACTTCCTTGATTCGGGTTGTTAGTGATAGTCTCTTGACAGAAAGGGATTTGAAACTCAATATCAGCAGTGCGCCCACGAATAGTAGACCAATTAAGCGTAAGTACCCAATTGGCCGTATGGTGACGGTGTAGGACAATCCATCACCCTATTTCGATTGATTTCGTGATTGTGAGAAACCCCAGAAAGACCTAATAGCTTTGTATCTATGACAACTAAATTATAAACTGAATAGTAAAATTTTAAATCTCATCTCCCATTCTTCCGCCCTTAAGGGTGAAAGGTTTACTTCAAATTTAAATGGGACATCCTTTAAGGTATTTGATGAAAAAACTAAAAATTAAGAGGAGAGCCTAAATACTAAAAAAAAAACGGTTTACAATTGGCGAATATATAACACTAGCTGTTCCCGCGACTTCGCGCGCGTAGAATTTTTTTCGCGGGAGCCCTAAAATAAAAGCAACCTTACTCCTTATAACATCAGCTATCTGCCAGTGAAAGTCTCATCCAAATCGGTTCACAGGTTTTTGCGTGATGCGTGTTCACGCCAAAATAGCTCGCAGATGACAGATTTTTTCAGACTTACTTAATATTTATCGTTATATTTTGGCCAATTTACAGAATATTTTTATGAATTATAGCAAATGTATTATGCTGATGTATGAGCTATATTATTGTAAAGTTTCATTAAATCCGTTTAGTAGTTTTTGCGTGAAAGAGTAACAAACATCCATACATCCTCACAAACTTTCACGTTTATAATATTAGTATTATAAAAAAATTAAATTTTAATTGGAAACCTCATTTAAAAAAAATTAAATCAATCGTAATTAGGTACTTACGTCGAATATTTCTTTAAGCGCAGTATATTTCTTAGTAATGATATCCAATTCTCTCTGCTTTCTTGTAAGCACAAGAGATTTTTGATCATATTTCTCCTGTAGCTGATCTATTTCTTTCTCCCTTTCCTTAACTTTGCGCAAAGTTTCGTCTTGAATAAGTTTATTTTGGGCTTGTCTGTTACGATGCATCTCAACATCCAGAACCATCTTCGCGTGTTGATTTTCCATTGCTGTTAATGATATTTCCTATAATATGACAGATATAATCATTATTATAATACGTTGTCTACTTTTGCCGTACGGTAGTTTGGAAAATCCAAAAGCACACGCCTCATGAGCGTTTTAATTTTGATGAAAAAAAAAAAAACTTTTAAACAGTGTTGAGTTCAATAATAAAAATCCTCGTTAGGATCTATGGAATCTTATTTAATACTATATATCTCAATCTACTGCTTACATTTCTATAAAGCGAGAAGGCTCACCGACGCACAGACCAACGGACGGCAGTCAATATATTTTTTCATTTACATTTTTTGTTAAGTAATCTAAAGTGAATCAATTAGGAAATAAACTAATCTATAATTCTACTCTATAATTCAACGTCTGTAGTTATTGTAACGTCAATAATAATATGTATTTGATGTCTAGCTAAAAGTATAAGAATGATTTTATGTAGCGAAATTCGACGACTACATATCGAGAGCAGAGCACTCCCTCACGTTGTGAGGCGTTTAATAATATGTCCAGTCGGTGTCGTAAGTGGCGGCTATGAAATTGTCAGAAGATCTTTTTTATAAAATAAGATTGACAAACGGGCGCATAGTCCACCTGATGGTAAGTGTATGCTATGACTCAAAGATATCTACTTCTCTATCATCATTGAAATTGAAATCTCTAATCGAATGCCTCGTTACCAGTATAGGTTTCCGGTATGTATGGTTTTCCGGTTCTCTACGCTCACCGTACGAAACACACAAAATAATTCTGTTGTTTTACGCGGTATTCTGTGAGAGCGCAATACCCCGGTAGAAGCCGACCCGTTCGTGCTGCAGGTATCACAGCTCTACCATATTAAAAAAATCTTATCGCTTCCGAAAGATGGCGGTATAATCATCCCTGCGTTATCATAATCATCATCATCATTACGACCCTTCACAAGTCCACTGCTGAACATAGGCCTCCCCCAAAGAGTTCCACATAGCACGGTCCTGAGCCACCCGCGTCCATCGACTTCCTGCATGTCTTACCAGAGGTCGTCACTCCATCCTACGTGGTAGAGCCATGCTGCAGCTATATTAGTAGTATAGTTGTACCACGATTACGTCGCCTCTACCGGGGAAGGATCACGCTCTCAGAGAACACTAGCGTAAAATAGCGGCTTAACACTGTTGTGTTTCGTATGGTTAGTTTAGAGAACCGGAGACCCTTTTTACTGGAAAAGAGGCATTCTATCTTAGTCCTCACGGGTGACAACGCATCTGCACTTTGATTCGCAAACGAGGATAAATGTAGATGTCTACGGGCCACAGCAACCACTTACCATCAGGTGAACTGCGTGCTCGTTTGCCACCCTATCCTATAAAAAAAATCTAGTGGGGGGACGCCCTACACTTCGCCTGTCGGTACGAAGCTCACTCGAGGACTTTTCTTCCCCTTCGGTTGTTGCTGTAGCTTCACGGCGTTATAGCAGGCGTAAAATACACAGACCGGCGATAGGGAGCCGTATCAAAGGTCCGAGAGTAGAGCCAATTTTTGTCAATTCGCCTGCCGAGCGTGACAATTAACGGAAATCCTCTCTACATCGGTAGAGATCGATGTCTAGGAGTGGACTTTTACGAGCTGATGATGGCAATGATGAAGAAGAATTAGCTTCAAGTGACTGTGTAATTAACACTGCCAACACTGGTTGAACCTATGCCACTACACAAGCGAGTTCACAAATTAAGTACCTACGCTACAAACTACTTTGAGCGACAAACAAACCTTTGTCCATCTTATGTATATATCTAAATTATTTTTAATCTTTAAATATAAATTCTGGTAAATATAAAACTTATCGAATTTATAAAAAAGTTCATTATAGATATATGATTCTATAGTATGATTGTGCGCGATAAAAATTTAATTAACTTACTTGTTTTCTAGACATTTCTCTCATTTTCTTAATTCCGTTGGCCATCGACTCAACCGCTTTATCGTTCAGAAGACACTCCTGAAGGTTCGTCAGAATTTCGTTTTCCAATTTCAACTTCTGCTCCTCTTTTCTCTGGTACTCCTTTACAGTGCTCTTAAGGATATTTTTCATCGTTTGATTCTCCTATAAAACAAAATAAATAAATGTTACAATATAATTTTTAAAATGCGGTTATCATTTTAGGTATGATTAAGAATAATTATTAACATCCTTACCGATTTGATGAGCTCTTGATCTCTTTCTGCCATTTCTATTGACTCTGAGAGCTGGGTGATTTGTGTTTCTAAATTTGTTCTTTTCGCTTCCTCTCCATCCACTATTATTTTAAAAACGGGTTACTGTTTTAGTTAAACACTAAACTACTACGTAAAGAAAATCCTGTCACTGCGTTCACAAGGAACCATAATAACATTACCAAAAATATTGTATTTCCACGTATGTAAGTTTCCCCATTTAACTAAACATTTTGCGGAGTAATTTTTATTTATTCTCTGAAAAAGATTACATGAAGATCATACATGATAACTACAAGCAAGCTCTTGGATCGGATAGGTTTTTTTTTAAATATTGTATAATAGCTCTAAAATTTCATTAGCGATTATAAACTCATTAATTGTAATTCTTCTACTTCTTTATCTGAGTCCACTGCCAGACGTTGGTCTCTTCCACCCCCAGCAGGTAGATCGGCGACCGCAGTGCCAGAATCTTGTATCCTTGATGGTGCTCCCAATCTGGTTAATTTATATCTGGCATATACGAGATGGATCTAAATGGATACGATTTATAAGCACCGTCGAATGGCAGGCCATACGGTCTTTCTATCGTTTCCTGTAGTGGTCTCTTACGATACCCGCGGAGCTAAATTAGAGATGAATTCTCTTATTTTTATGCAGCAAAATTTCAATCAGTAGCCTTACATCTTAAGTATTTATATATATTTAAGATAAGCAAGTATTATTTATTTGGAGTGGTTGTAACCATTGCGTGTGTAGACTTTGCATTCACTAAACCGGCTCACCATCGCGGTGAAAATTAGCAAATCTTAATGGTTGTATGCATTTAGTTACCGCAACTTATCACTGTGGAAGGGCGATCAGGGACTTATACATCAGAACGAAGAGGAACACAGGTGGTTGGATCAAAGTGGCCCCTCCGAGTGGGCTTGAAAAGTCTGCATCGTTTGCGTGTGGGTGAACTGAAGCAAGAGAGTTATCTTTTCAACCTGTCCACTGTAACCATATAGCATTTAGAGGAGTGGTGTTATGATAAGGTGCCATTTGTCTCAAGAGTCGTGGGGAGATTCTGAACGTCTTTAAGGCAAGAGTGAATAGGCTTTCGTTACGCTAAGACAGTGTGATTTACCATCTAGGGTTTCATCACTACTCACCACCTGGTGGGATTGTGATTTTAAGACCAGACCGTAATGGAAGTACAGTCGAATTTGGTGTCTGGCGCTGCGATCCAAATCATGGAAGAAGAGTCCAAGCATATTAACGCAAGTCTTCCGTATTTGTCAACGATTTATTTTCCGGTCTAATTATAAAAATTGATTTGGAGTTTCCTTTAGTTGCTCTTACGACTCCTATAATAAGGTAATTTTCAATACTAACGCAGTTTGTTCGCAGCTGCAATATCGTAGAGAACCTTGTCCTTGTTCATTGCAATCTCCCTTCCTTTATTCATCTCCTCCATTGCCACCTTCTTCGTTATCTCCAAGTTGTTAATCAGAGTACGATAGTTTTCCTGCAGCACTCTGTATAACCCAGAATTGTAAGGTCGTAGTTATTTATTAATAATATCTTATGTATTTGTTCATTTAATCCATTATATATTAATAACTAGACGTCGGATTTAATGCATATGCAAATGCATATAACTCTCTAATTATGGCGTTAATGCTTATTTTAGCCTTTTTCCCCAATCGTGCATATTTCGTTTAGTAGCGGGGGGTACGTATAAGGACCTAAGTGACGAAGACATGTAGGGCGCGAGCGCAGTGGCTGACTGAACTAACTGACCAAATTTTAAATTTTGTCCAATGACGTCAGTTGACGTGGAGACTGCAACAAGTTGATTTACAAATTGATACTGGGTGACAAGCGTCACAAATTTGCGCTCGATTATTGGAAAAATACTTAATTGCATATTGTCATAAAAACTATGCATAACTTTAAGAACATTTCGCTGTTTTTGTACCGTCTTTAATTCAAATATACAAAAATAAAAACGGTTTTTTGATTTTGCGTTTTGCATATTTTGGGCATATCAACAGTTTTAAGTGCATATTCGGCCTTTTTAGTGCATCTTTTGCATGCATATTTTGGCACTTTGTTAGTGCTTATAACCCGATGTCTATAATTAAAAATTACATGTAAAAACAGCACAATAAAATAATAATGTTCTTCAGATCGAATTTTGATCACGGCAGCTAGACTCGCCGAGACTAGTCGTCTGTGCAAGACTTACGAATATTTTGAAAGGATTGTGGAAGAAGTTTTGCTCAAACTTAGTAAACAGAACAAGTCTGTTGTAATATGTCATCGATTTCCTTGAATCTTCTTTTCGTATTAAGTTTAGCTCATTGTTTAAATCGTATAATCTTGTTAATTTATTCTTAGAAATAACATGTATTGCTGGGTCTAGTGCGACCTGTATAGATAACATTTTTACAGATGTTAAGCCCTTGCATAAATCAGTTATTCAAAAATTTTGTTCGGTTCACTGTGGACAGTTTTTCTCATTGCTTTACATACAAGCGTCGAATCTGGTGTGTTTCCTGATTTCATTAAACATACTTAATTCATACCTTTATTTAAATCTCGTAGTAGATTAGAACCAATTTCTGTACTACTAACATTTAGAACAAAATTTTGAAAAAATAAATTGCTTCATAAAAATCAATTCGGATTTATAAGAGGTCGCTGGACAACTGACGCTGGAGTTGAACTTATTAAATATATGTTTTGTACATAGGAGAATTACGAGCATGCTTTGGGTATATTTTGTGACCTTTCCAAGGCTTTCGACTGTGTGCACCATGAGACATTAATCAGGAAGCTACAGTACTATGGTGTCCAGAACATAGCGCTTAAATTTATTATTTCATATTTAAGTAAAAGAACGAGAAAGTCATTATCAATGGTAAAAGTTCTTTCGGGTCACCTGTACTATAGGTGTCCCTCAAGGCTCCCTCAAGAGAAAAATTTAAAGAAATAAATATTTTTAATTTGGCATCTCAGTATATTTACGAAAATTTAATATATGTTCACAAAAACAAAGGTAGTTTTAGTAAAAAAAGTGATATACACTCTGTAAACACTAAGAGCAAACACAAGCTAGTGATACCAGTTTCTCGTCTCCACAGAGTCAAAAATTCATTCTTGGGGCAATGTATACGCTATTACAACAAAGCCCCAGAAAATATACAAGGTCTCTCTATTACCATGTTTAAATATTTTGTTAAACAAAAACTGTATAAAAAGGGTTATTATAATATAAATGAATACATGGTTGGTAATAACCCCTGGGATTGAGATGATTCGCTTCCAAGCTGTTTCTAACATAAACTTGGTAAATAGTTTATACAACCTTTAATGTAAAATTTACTTAAAAAAAAGACCCGCTGGGTTTCTTGCTTTTTCTTTTTTCCGAACCAGTGGTGTAAAAATTACTTTCAATTAGAATTACGTAATGCATGTAATCTATATTGAATTTAAAATTATTCCATTCTATTCTATTTGAAAAAAGAAAGCCGCCTCTCACGACAACCCACCAGACGAATGCTTTGTGATAGATACTTTAAGGGCATTACCACGCGTTGATGCCACCATCACGACATCACTGAAATAAAATTAAAAAAAAGTACAAATTTTCTCTACCTGTAATCGTCGCGTACGGAGTCGTAAGCCCTATCTCGCTGTTGTATATTCACCAGCACAGAGTTCCAGAGGCTCATAAGTCGACGTTTATCCAGCTCCAAGTCCTCCAACTCTGCTGCATAGGCAGTCACCTGATGAAGTTAGTCAGGATTTCTTTACAATAGTTATTTATTATCACTAGTCACATCTTCCAAATGGATAGCGAAAAAAGGTGGAAATTAATGTGGAAAGGAAAGTGGAATACGCCTTCAAAAATAATTATAAGCAAAAAATGACACCTAAAATTATTTATTAATCAGCGTAAGAAATAAAAAGCATTACCAGACGTCTCGCACCTTTGACTATGTGACGCCGCTTTTCACCGCCGCCGGTCTCTGATTATTTAAAGTCTACCAATTACATAACTTGGAAGATTTTTGTATACTCACCACACTGGGCACGCAGATTAATAAGTGTTAAATCGATAATCTCTATTTCTAACACAAGTTTCATAATGTTGATAGGGAAATGCACAAGTTTCCTTATCACCCTCACAGAATACCAGCGTAAAATAGCAGATTAATTCTGCTGTTTCGAATGGTGGGTATAGAGAACCGGAGACCCTTCTTACTGGAAACGAGGCATTCCATCTTAGTCCTCTGGGGTGACAATGCATCTGCATTTTGATTCTTAATCAAGGATAAATGTAGATGGCTATGGACTACAGAATTTCTTATGATCAAGTGGACTGCGTGCTCATTTGTCACCATTATTCTTTAAAAAAAAACACTGTAAAACTTGAGATTAAGGTTTTTGAATGGAATTTTCACCATAAGTCCGACTTCAATCTTCCGGGTGCAACATGAACAAATCAGGACGTCTTAAGAAAAAGACATATTATTTATCCACTTACAAGTTCACACAGAAAGGTATCGCGAACACTACGTGAGGACAACCAGCTAAAAAATTCTTTATAATTCTTTATTTAAATAGCAATGAAATTTATACAGGCTTATTTTGCCAAATTTGCAGAGAAGGATCAGAATAAGTAATACAAAAGGTAAAGAAAAATTAATTAGAAAAATCTCAAACATTCTGTCTTTTTAATCTTTTAAATTCAAAATGCGTGTTAATGCATTATTGTAACTGTTTTTGCCTCGCACGCACACCTTCGTAAGGGTCGGTCGGACAGATGGTCACCCTCCTGGTGATAGAACAAGTTACCGAATTCGAAGATTGCCGTGTCCTCCCCTTCTCTTCGGACCTCAGATAATCCTATAATATCCCAGCGCAACTTGTCTATCTCTTCTTCCAGCTCCAGGATCTTCCCGTCAGTCCTCAGTGTGCGTGCGTTGTATGTTGCCAGGTCGAGTCGTCTTAGGTGGCAACCGAATCTCCACCGGAGATTCTTAGCACCCCCTGCCCCGCCGTTACCATGATCGCCGTTTTTGTTTGAAAAATAACCCTGTATATTGTTTTAAATAAAAAAACTCGCTTGGTGAATAAATGAGAAATCAAGAAGAAACCTTATCGTTAACTTGCTCCATCTCAACGTTCTTGATGTCGAGCTGTTTCTGGAACATCTCCAGCTTGGACTCCAACTTCCACACTTCATTGCTGAGACTGTATATGATCATATCCTGTAAACATAATTCTTCATTCGCTTTAACAACCCACTGCGCGGCGTGGATATTTACGGCGGTTATTCTGCTATCTATCTAAAGCCAAAAGAGCTTTGAGCGTTTTTAAGTCGCTTCTTATAACACGGGATGAAATGTTGCGACAGATTTCTCATATGCTCCCATTACACGGGGACGGTATCGTTATTTACGGCATTATAAAATTAATGTATACTTACATTTTAACAGTGGTAGAGCCACGCGGCAGCTTTTGCTGTCGCACGGATGGGCCGGCTCGAACCGGGGTGGTACCACGACCTCACAGAAAACCAGCGTGAAGTAGAAGTTTACCTCTGCGTTTCGCTTGGTGAGTGCAGGTGGCCGGAGGCCCTTTTTACTGGAAATGAGGCATTCCATCTTAGTCCTCACGGGTGACAACGCATCTACATTTTGGATAGATGTAGCTGTCTATGGGCCGCAGCAACCACTTACCATCAGGTGACCTGTGTGCTCGTTTGTCACCCTTATCCTATAAAAAATACATAACATTATAATCGTGATAATAACAGCTTATCAAATTCCACAGCTGAACATAAGCCTTCCTCATCGATTGCCTCTTACGGATAGTTGCCACGCTCGGCAGTTCTCCTGCTTTTTTTCCTCTGTCACCTTTTACGGAACCCACTGGTTGATAATATGGCATAGTGGCTTCTCTTAAGCCGCATCTTCAAGGCATTCGTGTAACCTATTTTTTTTATATTGAGGCTTGAATAAGTCACCGAGTTATAAATCGTCCAGGACTGATTTGTTCTCAGGACATCATATATAGGATCCTTTGTCGGTTATTATTCTAAACTGCAACTCAAATTGTCACTTTTAATTTCGAAGTAGATAATATTATTAACATTTTTAATATGTAGATTTGATTTTAAAGAAAGAAATAAAGAAGCTTATACTCTCTCTCTCTCTCTCTCTCTCTCTCTCTCTCTTTCCCTTTTTTGTTTTAAAATATAATTTTTAATTGAGTTACGTAGACAGTGTGTTTAGAATTTCGAATATTTTTGTTGAATTTGCATAGACCCCTTACCAACTGGCGTTTTTCATCCGCTAAAGCTCTTTTTTCCGCCCTCATCTTCTCCGACATACGCTGGTTGACTGTTAAATCGGACTCTGTCTCTTCCCTCCACGCTTCCAACTGCTTGCACAGCGTCGTCAAAGCCTCCAGCTCTTCAGTTGCCTCTCGCTCTGAAAAATGTAATGTAACTTGCCCACCGTCTCTTATGGTCCTTCCAAAATCATCCGGTCATAGAGACCGAATATTGGGAGCAATAAGATTTATTTCCTTAATTAGTAATTGTGAATAGAATCCGAATTTCAAAACAGAAACAGAATAGGGATTATTCGTTAAAGACCTATACATATTTCGTACCTTGTACTGTGTTTCTTTCCAGTTTCTCCATGGCTTGTTTATACTTTTCATTTGAGTCGCGTACCCGTTGTTCAGCCGCCTGACGTTCTGCTGTTTTTTGGGCCAACATTTCTTCGTATTCCGTTATTAATGCCTTAGGAAAAATAAAAAGGAATTCGTACAATGAAAAAAGACTAAATACTATGTTAAGCTGCAGAAGAGGGAAATATATGGTATTAAGTTTATAAGAAAAAAGGATTTTAATTTGTAAATCCACTTCTAATTTGTAAAACTAATTGCGTTAGTAACGTCAGCTATAACAGAAAGTTTGTAATTTTTTATCACCGCTTTTAATATTCTGCTTGTACGGCGTTCTCAACGGTGAAAGAAAACATCTTGAAGAAACCGGTTTCTTTATGATGTAAAATATTTTGAAGCCAAATGGAGTGTAATTGAAGGAGTAAAGGAAAAATATTTCTCTAAACGTAAACTTCACCCGAATATGCTGCCGAATTTAAAAAAAAAACGCCAGGAGTCTACACACTGGTCACGGGGAATAGTATTACCAGTGCGATACAATCAGCATAATATGCTCACCAACGCACCGCGTCGTAAAGACAAGTCCACTACCTCGCTGGTCTCGAGGGTATAAACGCGGTTGCTGATCATGACGTTCCCGGGTTCGAATCCCGATGGAGGGTAGATTTTTAATTCAATATATAGAATTCGAGATTACTTATTGAAAATCATTTATGCTTTTCAGAAATGACTGATTCAGAATAATTCTGTTTCGGGAAGAACCATGAAGAAATTTTTATATGTGGTAGAGCCATGCTGCAGCTGTATTAGTAGTATAGTTGTAGCACGGGTCGGCTCGACCGGGGAAGGACCACGCTCTCACAGAATATCAGCGTAAAATAGCAGCTGAACACTGCTGTGTTTCGTATGGTGAGTGTAGAGAACCGGAGACCCTTTTTACTGGAAAAGAGGCATTCCATCTTAGTAATCATGGGTGACAACGCATCTGATTTCGATTCATTTTTCTTTAGGATAAGGGTGACAAACGAGCACACAGTCCACCTGATGGTAAGTGGTTGCTGTGGCCCATAGACATCTACATTTATCCTCGATTACGAATCAAAATGCGGATGCGTTGTCACCCGTGAGGACTAAGACGGAATTCCCGTTTCCAGTAAAAAGGGTCTCCGGTTTTCTACACTCACTATACGAAACATAGCAGCATTAAGCTGCTATTTTACGCTGGTATTCTGTGAGAGCGTGAACCTTTCCCGGTTGAGCCGACCCATTCGTGTTACAACTATACCAGAAATATAGCTGCAGCATGGCTCTACCACGTACTACGTAGGATAGATATGGACGGATGTCTATGGGTCACAGCAACCACTTACCGTCAGTGTACTGTGTGCTGGTTTGTCACCCTATACTATAAAAAAAAGAAAGCCTGCGGTACTATCTTTAAATTATAATTTACAATATATTGTTCTCTTCAAGGCAATAATATATAGCCTAGTGCACTGTACCATCTTCGGTGGCATTACCACTTACCATCGGGTGGGACCGTGGGATAGCAGTACTCAGGCACAGGAAGTATCTCCTGCTTCATAAATTTATCACTCACTGTCACTTCATTACTCTTTAAAATAGGTAACAGGTCTGTGCTCAACGTAATGCGTAAAGGGATGTAAGGTGCAATATGTCAAGTTTTTGTTCAAATGTTAATCTCTGCGCTTGGTAACATGGTACACCCTGCTAATTATCAGAGCTCTGGCGATTGTCTGATAAAACCCCATAGACTTGTAATAGAAAATAGTACTTATTATCCCACTATATTAAAAAAAAAAACATGTGTACGGTTCAGCGGTAAAAATGAAGCCTTCAAAAAACACTGTATTTTATTCTGTCTCATTCTCTCGCAGGCTAATTCCTTAATAATGTTTGTTTTTAGTTAGCGTCGCTTTTTAGTTTCATAGAGTTTCAAATCACATCGATTCTAAAGAATTTTTCATTTCAAAAATGTTTCGCTTTGAATTTGTGCGTAATACTGGTACGTTTTAGAATGTTACTTTTGTTTAACGCAACTTCTCTTTGCAGTGGACTTTAAAAGGTTATTTACTTGACGTGATTTGTGCGTAACACAGACGCGTTTTAAAATGTCACTGTTAGTTTTGTTTTACGTACTCTTTGGGCGTTGGTATCATGGTCGTCGCGATAAATCGCTTCAAGGTCCTTGTCGTACTCTTGCTTGCTCTCTTTCAGTTCGTCGCGCTGAAATTAAATTGTTTTGATTCAATCGATCATTCAGTGCTAAAAAGAATTAATTTTAAACAAATAAGTAAATAATGATTTTTTTGCGCTTACATTATTCCTTATTCTTTTCACGAGTTTGTAAAAGTTGTGTTAGTTAACTATCTATAGTAGATTTTTAACACATAAGTATTACATAGTGCAGCAATAAATGAAAAAACAGCACCTTAAATAATTTTATTTTTATACTGGCTACCCCACAAGGGTAGGTTGTTTATTGTGTTTTCGGTTGTATCTATGTATGGTTGTATTGTATGTGTGTGTTGTGCTGTATCCATGTATGAAGTGAGCTGGGATGACGGTATATGAAAAGCAGTTGGGATATGACGAATCCCAATTGCTTTTCATATGCTGACGGCAGGATGTCACAAGCTATGTTTAATGTAAATAATATCAATATCACGTTCGCAAAATATAATACCTACTTCGGTACTTAAGCAAATTCTGATTAACTTCTTTATTATATAGTACGTGAGGGTAATATGGTCATCCGGTTAATATGGTCATTTTCTTATAAGTGAAAAACTACAGCCTTGTTTGCATGGATGGCTCCTTCACCAGTCAATCAAATAATAAAGGGTCGAAAGGACACTGCTTCATCGACGCCATTTTGACAGTTGACGTTATAGTAAATATTTTATTAGATTTTAGTATTGTGTAGTGTAGCTAGTTTTTTAAGTTGATTTTTCGGAGTGTACCTAATCATAGCCAAAGCATGTTTGCTATTTTATTCTTAGTAAATTATTTATAGTATACGACTTTGTGTTTTTGTTTCTGTCCTCCTCTTATTTTTGGTTTTATAGGGCGGCAAAGCTTAAGGTGACCATATTACCCTCACGCACCTTATTATGTTCCTCTTTTACGACAATATGTTCCTAGCAAATAATAGATATCTGCAGACGTGTTCTCTGTTTTTAATCACCTAAATATACATGTTGCTGTCTCGTACTCGATGATGAAAGAATCACAATGGTAGCGTATCCCCATTATTCTAGAAGGCGTCTCACAGCTTCGCACGAGACAACAAAAGAACTAATCCCATTCGATAAGAAGCCTGTTTGATTGTTCAACTATACGACAAATTACCAACTTGTCTTTGATATTCGATTCATCATCATTCATCATTACAGCCCTTCACAAGTCCACTGCTGAACATAGGCCTCCCCCAAAGAATGCCACAAAACACGGTCCTGTGCCACCTGCATCCATCGACTTCCTGCATGTCTTACCAGGTCGTCACTCCATCTCGTGGGGGGACGCCCTACACTTCGCCTACCGGTACGAGGCTGCCACTCGAGAACCTTTCTTCCCCATCGGTTGTCGGTTCTTCGAGCTATATGGCCGGCCCACTGCCACTTCAGCTTACTAATCCGTTGGGCTATGTCGGTCACTCTGGTTCTACTGCGGATATCCTCATTCCTAAGTTTATCACGCAGAGAAACTCCGAGCATAGCCCTCTCCATAGCTCGTTGAGCGACCTTGAGCTTCCTCATACGGCCAGCAGTGAAGGACCACGTCTCAGTTCCGTAAGTCATCACTGGCAACACGCACTAGTTGTACAATTTCGTTTTAAGGTTTTGAGGTATGTCTGACGAGAAGATGTGTCGTAGCTTCCCAAACGCTGCCCAGCCGAGTTGAATCCGTCGATTGACCTCTCGGTCGAAGTTGGACTTACCCAGTCGGACTATTTGTCCCAGGTAAACATACTCGTCAACAACTTCGAGCTTAGTGTTCCCAACAACTACCGGCATCGGTGTGACATGGACATTAAACATGATCTTAGTTTTGTCCATGTTCATCTTAAGACCTATCCGTTGGGAAACACTATTGAGGTCATTGAGCATAGTGCTTAGGTCCTCCAGCGATTCTGCCATAAGGACTATATCGTCGGCAAATCGAAGGTGAGTGATGTACTCGCCATTGATGTTGATACCGTATCCTTTCCAGTCCAGAAGCTTGAAAACGTCTTCCAATGCAGCGGTGAAGAGTTTCGGGGATATGACGTCACCCTGTCTTACACCTCTCTGCAATTGGATAGGTTTCGTACTCTGGTTCTGTACTCGGATAGCCATCGTAGCCCTACTGTACAAGCACTTCAACACTTCGATATACCGACAGTCAACTTGGCACCGCTGAAGGGACTGCAGCACCGCCCAAATTTCGACGGAATCAAAGGCTTTCTCATAGTCCACATACGCCAGACATAGTGGCAAATTGTACTCTTCGGACTTCTGTACAACTTGCCGAAGGGTATGTATGTGGTCTATGGTGCTAAAGCCCTTTCGGAAACCGGCTTGTTCGGGAGGCTGGAAGTCGTCAAGTCTGCGCGCGAGACGATTCGTAATGACTCTCGAAAACAGCACGTAGACGCGGCTCAGAAGGGAAATCGGTCTGTAGTTCTTCAAGAGAGCGTTGTCACCTTTCTTGAAGAACAAGACCTCCGCACTTCTGCTCCACGCCTCCGGTGTAATGCCACCATGGAGGACGGAATTAAAGAGCTTCTGAAGGACTTCAAGTACCGGTCTTCCACCCGCTTTCAGAAGCTCCGCTGTAATTCCATCCTCGCCTGGGGCCTTACCGTTTTTAAGGTGCTGGAGAGCCATCCTAATCTCGCTCAGACTGACATCCGGGATATCTTCGGAATAGTGTCGGATGAGACTCGCTCTTGGATCGTTACTCACACTTGCGTGTGGCTCCAACGATGATGTGTACAGCTGCCCATAGAACCTCTCAATCTCACTCAAAATCTCAGGTGTCCCGGAAACGATGCTGCCACATTCTGTCTTCAGCTTTGACAGTTGGCTCTTTCTGGCAGACAGATCTCTGGCAAAGACTTTGGAGCCTTGGTTCCGCTCGATCGCTTCTTCAATACGAGCTGTATTGAAGTTGCGTAAGTCCCGCCGCATGCATTTGGAGATCTGTCTGTTCAGATGCCTGTATGCTGTCAAGTCTGTTGAAGAATGTAGCTTCATCTCCCGTCTAACAGCCATGAGATTAAGAGTGTGATCGCAGAGTTTTTGTGTTCTTCTGCGGCGGGTCTTGCAGAACTTAGCTCCAACCGCATGGACAGTTTCCACGAGCTTGTCATTCATATCGTCCACTTCATTGCAGTCTTCCAGGCACTGAAAACGGTTTTGTAACTCGAGCTGAAAGGTTTCGGGACTTTGGAACAGAGCACGAGGGGGACGGAGCGTTGACTTCATTAGACGAGACCTCTCCAACTTAACGTTTAGGTTCAGTGTGCCTCTAACCATTCGGTGATCGCTACCAGTTTTCACCCTCGCGATCACGGAGACATCACTGAACAGGCGTGTCACTTTGTAAAAATCTGAGGTATGGAAAATGGTGGCGCGATTTTCAAATTTGTTCGCATTACTCGTGGGGTATTAAGGTTTAAGAGTTTGCAGTGTATATACTCAACTTATTTATTGAACTATAAGATGTGGGGTATTGAGGTTTAAGGGCTTGCGATTTATTTATATGGGGTTTGTAGTAATATGCGATTTATTTCCTAATTTCAGCTATGGAATTCCATACCTTGAAAAACTTGAGGTATGGAGTGCTCCATACCTTCCATAGTGGAAGTGACACCCCTGTCACTGAACAGTTGTCGTCTGGTCGTCATAATGAAGTCAATCTCATTTTTTGTGGAACCGTCGGGGCTCGACCAGGTCCACTTCCTGTGGGGCCGCTTCTGGAAGAAAGAGTTCATCATAAAGAGTCCCTCTTTCTCCATGAAGTCGGCCAGCTGCTGGCCCCTTGGGTTCCGTTGCCCTATTCCAAATTTCCCTACTTTCAGCTCACCGTTCTCTCTTGTGCCTAGTTTTGCATTGAAGTCTCCCATTAACACCGTATATTGGGTTTTGGAGGAATGCATGGCTCTAGAGATATCCTCATACATTTCCTCCACCTCCTCATCGGGGTGTGCCGAGGTTGGTGCGTAAACCTGTATGACCTTCAGCGAATACCGTTTGGTGATTCTGAGTATAAGGTACGCAACCCTCGTCGACACACTCCCGATTTTTACAACGTTGTTAACGAGAGACTTGTGGACGATAAATCCGACACCTCCTTGGGACAGATGGTCGCCCTCCCGGTGATAGAGCAAGTTGCCGGATTCGAGGATTACCGTGTCCTCCCCCTCTCTTCGGACTTCGGATAATCCTATAATATGCCAGCGCAACTTGTCTATCTCTTCTTCCAGCTCCACGATCTTCTCGTCAGTCCTCAAGGTGCGTGCGTTGTACGTTGCCAGGTCGAGTCGTCTAAGGTGGCAACCGAACCTCCACCGGAGATTCTTAGCACCCCCTGCCCCGCCGTTACCATGGTCGCCACCGTAGCCAGGAATAGCGGGGCCGCCGGGGACTGGGGGCCGTTTTTTTGTTGCTCTCATCATTGGGGGGTATTTGCCATAGTTGCCACGCTTGGCGAGCGGGTTGGCAACCGCAGTTTTTTTTATTGTAATTTGGCTATTATCAGGAAGATGCTGCTGCCCATCTCCTGGCTGTTTCCCTTTGTCGCCTTTTACGACACCCACGGGAGGATATGGGGTAGTGGATATTCTTGACCGCCACTACACGGCATTCGATTCAATAGAAAGATAATTAGCAACTCTAGTAAGTAGTAATTGTAAAACTAATGCCTGACTTTTAATTGAGTGATAAATGCTGTGTGATTAAAAATGACGTGAGGTGGCTGGCGGAAAAGAATTCATCACCCCATTTTGCCCTATGTGTGTTGTAAGAGTCGATTAGAGGAAATGGCAGAAATGAGCCTACTCTACTCTTTCTAAAAGACCAGCAACGTATACCTGCAATTCCCCTGGCGTTGCAGTTGTACATGGGCGACGGTCGACACTTAATGGCACCAGCGTCAAAGGTGAGAGTCGTGACGTTTCAGATGTCTTTTACTGCGATCGTCAAGACAAATTATTCGTACAACGAGAGAGACTCATGTCCGGCACCGGACTTTTAAAGGGCTAACGAAGACAAGAGAAAAAAAATTTAATTGTTGCTTACCAATTTTTTAATCTCTTCTTCAGCGATTGCGTTCTCTCTCTCGAGAAATTTTTTAAGTGTTTCTTGGAATTTTTGCATGAGAGGATGCGTGGCTTCCAACACCGCCGGCATGGCTCCCATGACTCGTTTACTGCGCCATCTAATTTATTTATTTATTCAAATCAAAACGTAAACAGAAGTACATTAACACGAGATTTTATGACTCTGAAAGTGATTTCCTTCAGAAAACCTTTACGTAAAGAAGTGATGTAATAAATAAAAAATATACAAACATACAAAAAAGGACTGTTATATTATCTTCTTTATACATTTAATCGTATAATGATCGTATAACTTCTGAACAAATTGACCGATTCACACAATATATAAATTTATTATTTATTTTGAAGAGTTTCCGACAACCGTCCATTCATTGATATACTTGGATCAAATAGAGGGAGCTGTAGACAAGCTTTTGACAAATTCTATATTTAAGGACGAAAAGGACTCCTATTTACAATAGTGTTAAAAAGGAAATCAGAAAATCTGGACCCGATAAGTGAGGCTGTGGAAAAAACAGTGGCAGACTTTTTTTTTTCATTTATTTGGGTCAACAAACAGTTTCACAATAATATTTTTACAAATAATATACATACACATAATGAAATAATTGTGACACCAACACCGTTAACCACAAATTATTAAATAAAAAATTTTGCGTGCTAAAAGTTAGTATTTCGCTTAAGTAAGTTGACCATGGATTTAATTCAATCAACTTGCGTGGTGTTGAATTCAGGCAACAGATTAAAGAAAACTGATTTTTTAAATGAAGTAACATTCGTTGCAAATATATCTAGGGTAGTGAAGTAGCTGTTATAAGCTTCAGTCATTCGAGTCAATGGTGAACGTTTCCCAGCATTAGTTCGAGACTTATGTGTAGCAAATAGTTTATATGTACGGCATGCTCGAGTGTGTGATCTGACTGGTACTTTAAAACATAACTTATCCACTATATCAATACAATCGTACTTATTATTACAAAAGTCGTACAATAGTTTAACTTGTAATTGTAACCTTTTAGTTTTTAGATGAAATATTTTATATTGTTGTAACAATTTTGAGTAAGACAATTTACTATGAAAACATTTAAAATGCATGCATCGTAGGAAGTTCTTTTGCACTCTTTCAAGGCGGTCTGAGTATTTTTTGTAAAAGGGATCCCACACTGAGACGGCATATTCAATTTGTGAGCGTATTAAAGATTTATATAAATACATATATGTACTTGGCCTTTTAAAATCGTTACTAGAGCGGATAACAAACCCATACATCTTATATGCTCTATTACAAATATTATCAATATGAGTTTCTAGTGTTAGCTTAGTGTCTAATGTAACTCCCAGATCTCTAATTTTATGCGCCCTATCGAGATTTGCGCCGCACAGAGAATAATCGAAATAACTTATACTTTTTTTAAACTAAAACTTATACACTTACATTTATCTGTGCTAAGTTTCAATTTATTACGGTCACAGTAAGCTGTCAATCGGTTCAGATCTTCTTGGAAGTTTAAATGGTCACCAATATTTTCAATCGTACGGTAAATTTTGAGGTCTCAGAAGGAAATTGCAATTTTTGAAATATTCGCTTATATCATTTATATAGATTACAAACAACAATGGTCCAATAATTGAGTCTTGCGGAATACCTGATGTTACAGTGACGATATCAGATTCATGACCATTAATTACCACCTTTTGGATCCTATTCGTTATATAAGACTTGAACCATCTCCAAAGGTTGCCTCGAATACCATTGAAGGCAATTTTTTCCAGCAAGATTTTATGGTCGACACGATCAAAGGCCTTCTTAAAATCCGTATATACAGCGTCTGTTTGTTTATTAGAATCCATGTTTTCAAATAATGCAGTTGCATAAACCATGAGGTTAGTGGTGGTTGATCGCTTTAAAACATATCCATGTTGTTGTGGGAGAATATTTTTGTGGATATAAAAGTAAAGGTTGCAGTGTATGAGTCTTTCAAGAAGCTTTGCTATAGTAGGCAAGATTGAAATAGGACGGTAGTTGGTCACGTCCTCTTTCGAGCCCCCCTTGTGTACTGGAACAATCCTAGCCATTTTCCATAATTTGGACAAACACCATCTTCCAAGCATTTATTAAACAAGATCCGAATTGGTTTGTAGATAATTGTAGCCGTTCTTCTAAGAAAAATCGGCGGAACGTTATCTGTACCGGGTCCTTTTGTAACGTCCAATGATTGGAGTTCTCTTATTATATAGTCATCTTTTATTAATATATTGGTAATAATATTATCAGTGTGAGTTTTTATGTCTAAATCACTTATGTCGGTAATATCATAGGAGTCCGGCAAGTCTGAAAACTGACTTCAGAGACTTTCATACATAAAATTAGTTGAGAAGGAATGGTAGCGTCTATATATCAAAAATATCTTAAAATGTTAAGCGTCAGTCCCTGAATAACTTTGTCAAAGAATTTTGTCTTGAAAAGGCGTCAAAAAAGATATTTAGATTTGAACCTTTTTAGGGTATGTCTTATGTCACTTGGAAAAAGTCATGCGTCCTGTGGTTGTTTGATTTTAGCTTAATACATTCTCAACATAATGTAACTACCTACATAATTGAGAGATTATTGTATCTCTATTATATATTTGCATACTATAAATGTATATTTCTGGCATGGCTCCAAGCCTTTGTGTCATACAGTGACATTCTCAGAAGGGCTAGAACCCTGAGCCGTAAAGCCAGTAAAAAAACAGTGACATTTTGTTTTAGCTCGTGTTGCCATAACATATAACATAAATGGAATTGTTACATAGTACTATGATTGAGATAATGTATCATTATAGTAAGTTCTATGTAAGAGACTTATTTTCAACCATATCACTTTTATTTTTATATTACTGATAGTATAGTTATTAGTAATAATAACTTAATATCAAAATATTATGTTGTGTTTGTGTGTTTGGTTGGTAGTCTTACAAAGTATATACGAAAATAGTATGAATATAGTAAATGGCAACACTTGAATAGAGTAAAATGATTAAAATCATTTGATATTTCCAAAAATGTTTGTTTTTTTATGTAGTTTTAATTAAAATACATTTTTATTTGAAAAATCATAGAAAAATAATAAAACTCATTTTATATATAAGTTATTTCTAGGCGCAATAATTTTTGTCAACTATTTTTCTGCTCTTGCTGGAAAGGACAGCACAACGTCTGCTGGGTCAGCTAATATAAGTACAAATAGTTATTATTTAATATATATCTCTAATTAAAAATCTTTTTACTAATTTATAAATACAATCAATAAAATTCTTACTCATCGAAAACTTCTCTGCCGGCCTTGTTACAGCGGCATTGGTTTTCGGGGCACCTGCAGCACTGACAGTCGCCGTCTTCGTTAGGTGTAACAGGAACGAAACATTCGCAGGCAGCCTCCTTAATAATGAAAGCGGCAATAATAAGAACTTATAAACATTAGTGTAAACCCTATATACAATCGTCAGTAGATTTCTGGGAGAGTTAAGAGCAATTGGCCGCCGAGCTGCACCAGTGAGAGTGTTGACGGATTTCACATGTCTTCGAAATAATGATTTCTTATATTTACGCGAACGCTACACATTGAATAAAACCACTTTTACGGAGTCTATCACGTTTAATTAACTTATTTTTATTAATTCCCGACGTTTCGGGTGCTTTACAGCAACCATGGTCACGGGGGACTGAGGGGAGGGGAATTAATAAAAATAAGTTAATTATACGCGATAGAATCTGTAAAAGTAGTTTTATTCAATGTCCAGACATGCAGGTTTCCTCACGATGTTTTAATCCAAAGGCGTGCTAAACTAACTAAACTTGGTCAGTTAACACTTAAAATTGGTATGTCTTTGCTAGTGTAGTTAGTGGTGTTGGGTTATCATGCAATTAAGTGAGGTCGGGGGCTTTAGTCTTCAATAGGTAAGACGCATCATTTATGTTTATACGCGGACTTTAGCTGATTAATTTTAATATCTTTATTATTTAAAATTGCAATTAACAATTTCAGTGGTGCGTCGATGTCGTTTTTAACGAGGTTCAAAAGTCTTTCCTATTGAAATTTTCAGCTAGCGCTTCGCCTTGAGAAACGAGTTCTAAAAGGGAAAACGTAAATTTACAAACGTGTTAGCTCAGGGGCAGTGCACACGCCTTTTACTTCATAGTGTACAATCGCGAACAAATTGAGTTGATCTCTTCCACTGACTGCTAACATTGGTTGTCGTTATTTTACATAGAGGAATATAACCAATTTTATGTCCTCATTTCTGATAGTCAAGAAAAAAGTTCTGAGGAAACCTGCAAGTCTTAGAGCTCACACGCAACACTGCGATTACTTACCTACAGGATGCGGTTAACCGGATTACCTACAGCTAGCTAACATTCAGTTGAGGAATTATGTTCAGGAAAAACCATTTTAAGTACGGATGTGGAAGAATTTTGTTTTGAGAATTATATTTACATTAAATAAAGATTAAAACAGTACAAGAAGTATTGATACGCAGTACTATTATCTAGGTATTTTGTAGTATTGGGTGCAGGATTCTTTGTAATTACACGCAAAAAAAAAAACATGCACGGAAATTGACTCGATGTGGGGGTGCAAGAGCTTTGTTATAAGTAAAGTAATTTCTAGGGTGACCCTGGCCCCTGAATCACGATTGTCGATTTTATACGTGGTAGAGCCATGCTGCAGCTATATTATGGATGTAGCACGAATGGGTCGGCTCGACCGGGGAAGGACCACGCTCTCATAGAATACCAGCGTAATACCTTTCAGCCGTGGTAGCTCAGCGGCTAAGCGTTTGCTGTAAATTTCACAGTACCCGATCAACCCGGGTTTGATCCCCGCCCACACCAATGAAATTGTTAATTGCAATTTTAAATGCTGGTTTACTACGTGCTCAGCGTTGAAGGAAAACATCGTGAGGAAACCTGCATGTCTGAGAAATAAAAAAAAATTAGAAAGCATGTGAAGTTTGTCAACACGCATTGTGGTAGCTCGGCGGAATTTTCCTTGCCCTAAAACCCTCTCAGAAATGAGAGGAGGCCTGTGCCCAGTTGTGATATATCAGCTGCAACTTAATTTTTTTTCCAACTTTAGACCTTTGTCGGTCGAGCCGACTTATTTATTGTGTTGCATCAAAGGTGCACGATGGCTTGTCTTGTGATCGCCAATTCAGCAGCGTATAGGATCTACGCGTTATCATACGGTAAATCTTTTTTTTAATGGAAGAGGTACTGTCTAGACTTTTTCTACAGCGTTTAATACTCCGCTATTTGACAAGATCCATATACATCTCTTTTTAAAAATGCACCAACACAACTTTATACCTTGAAGGATTTGTCAAATACTTACCACGTTAAAGTCGTGAGTTCGAATCCGTTACTCGAATTAGCTTATTTGAAGTGGTTGATGGGAATATTAGAAATTTTAATACTTCATAGTAGTGTTAACATTTAAAAAACTTATCAAAAAGAAAAATATTTGAAAATATTTACTTTATCATAAATCAATTGTTCATTCCTGTAAAATATACAATTCTCTTCGTGGATCACTTTGTCATGGTCGCCCTTTGGGCAAGTGCAACTTGGCAGGATTGATGGTGCAGCAACGTCCTCCGTGCATGGACATTCATCATCAGATTCCATTACGCTTACTTTTGATAACACAATATTATAATAACGAATATGAATTCCAAAACACTTGTCTGTAAATCGTTTCTAAATTAAAGCTGTGTTAGAGTGGTTGCTAGGATACTCATTGCATTGATCAAAGAGTATATTTACGTTTAATAATAAAACATAGTGATTATATACTCTTTGCCTAATAAGTAATATGACTGTATCAAAGAGTAGTAAACAAAGAGAATATAATAAATGTACCAAAAGGAAGCTTGTATACCTAATAGTCTAACTATACCTGTCCATACAGTCTGCAGTGTATAATCATAATTCATCCAACGATTAATCTATGCGCTGTTAAAGCATTAGACGCATATAAAGGCTTGGACGAATTATCCAAATCACACTAATTTGCATAGAGAACACAGAACACAGGTCAGCGTCTATGGTGTGCGACGTCCACACGACGACTTTATGTATACCTGAGCAATGTCTGCTACTGTAATTTATGCCTCTGATAACTAAAGAAAAAAAGTGACAAATTTGCTTTGTCACTCTTTTTTTCTTATGTTCACTTCTGCAACATAAGTTTGCTTTGTCACACCGGCGCCCCTTTTATTTTATGTACTTATACAAACCTCTTTGTGACAATAGATGGTTAGTTTTGCACAACACAACACAAAGTACTGGTGCCAGGACGTTCGTCAACTACAGGAAAATTAATGAGGGAAGAGAGACAAAGGAAATTTATGTTGCAGCTGTGAATGGTAGTATCGAGCCCTAGAGTCTAGGGCGTCCCTTGCCCATCCGTATGGCCTAGAGCATAGACGAGTGCTTATCGTCCAAATAGGTATTACGTTGTTTATTTTTGATAACCCCAGAAACATTTAAATCAATAGCGACTCTTGTTACAAAGCAGTAAAGTGCAATTTAGTTAGCACATCGCAGAGTGCCAAATATTGTTGTATTCACCTACAAAAGTAAAGTTACAGCCTATATACGTCCCACTGCTGGGCACAAGCCTCCTCTCAATTCTGAGAGGATTTTAGGGCAAGGAAATGTCTGCCGCGCTGCCCGAATGAGTGTTGGCGAACTTCACATGTCTTCGAAATATATATTTTTTTCTTATTTCTCAGACATGGAGGTTTCCTCACGATGTTTTCACCGTGGAACACGTGTTAAATCATCACTTAAAATTGCAATTAACAATTTCATTGGTTTAGCGGGGCTCGAACCCGGATTCCTCGCGTACTGTGAAATTTTTAGCGAGCGCTTAACCCCTGATCTACCACGGCTCCTTCACCTACAAGGTGAGGCATCTTATATCGTATATCTTTCTATCGTAGTTCTTATGACGTCGTACGTATAATGTTAGGGTCGTCTTCTTTTGACGAATAATTCTTGCGACGCGAACAGAATAACCTAGGGAACTCACCGCGGCAACCCTTCGAGTGGGCCCCTAGATGGACTTATAGCTTTGTACCTTAAGTACGGAGCCTGGCCTGATTGGATAGAATAATTTAAAAATCAGTTCAGTAGTGCCATAGATTTTATAAAAACTTCCTTTTTGTGTTCTGTACCTCATAAGGACAAAAACCAGACAGACCAATATGACAAAACCAAATGTTGTTTTCCATCCGTCTGTCAAGATCTTTCTCAGGAACGGGAAGAGGTATCAAGCTGAAATGAATATCCTTGTACAGTTTATATAATTTTATAGTTGTTTGCTAGATGTTTTTATTTTCATAAAAGGCTGCCTCTGGTCAGAAAATTTTGTTTAAATATTTCAATAAAATGAACGGAAATTAATGTAATAAAAATAAGTATAATTTATTGTAGCTTTTATTTTTGTGTAATAATGTCGGATACAAATCTCAATTTTTTATATCAAATATTTTAAAAATACTACAGTAGCATTAAAAATTGTACATCACTAAAACAGAAGCAAACTGGACGTTATAGCTCCATTAGTAGCTCGAACGCGACTTATTGTTAATACTTAGAAAATAAAACATAGGCAGGCACATTCAACTTACAAACTAAACTAAAATAATGCCTAAAATAATAAAATCAATCCCCTTTTATCACACATTGTGATGTACATGCAAATTAATTTGTAGCCATAAATACTATTTTTTTAAATTATTTTTAAAATTATTATATGGCGGTATAATTATCGGTGCACAGTTTAGCTGCCTTTTAAAAGAAAAAAAAAATGAAAAAAATATAAATTCAAAATTAGGTACAACATAAACAAAGTAAATTTAAAAATAATACTAATAATAGAATGTCTACATACAAAAAAAGAGCTAAAATATTGCAAAAACTCTCCACGCGTTTTTCACTGAAACATAATATTAAATTATCACTGAATATACAATTCAAAGCAATACGTGATAACACATTCTCAGTTTAGTATTAAAAATTGACAACGCCATGGAAAATCTAAATGCTATCAATAATAAAAAAAAATACTACATTATTTGTCAAAACGTATATTTCTAATTTACCTAGATAAAGTTATCTTTAATATAAAAGAGAAATAAATAGGCACATTTCATTCGCAAAGAATGCTTGTATGTTTATTATTTTATAAACCTTAATTAATAAAATAATTTCACAATGTTACTTAACTAGAAAATAATGATACAAACAATCCACAATCAAATTGCAGTATTGCCAGTTAAATAACTGCTATGGCTTTTGTTTTTGTACTGAATTATAAAATGGTAATAATAAAAATTGCTGTTATTAAGTACGCATTTTTTAAATTTCAAAATTAATAATCATTGAAGAATTTTATGAATAATAGTTATGTAACAATTTTTAGTTATTATTATAATTCAAGCACGCATAATTGTCAGTTAAAAGTATCCAACTATAAAATGCATAATCTCTTATAAAATAAAGTACCCTAACGTAAACTGAAAATGTACAAGTGACAGTAAAATACCTTCTAATCAAATATTATAAGATACCAAAAGTATTATGTGACAAATGTAGTGATTACAGGTACAGATTAAAAACGATACAATTAAAAAAATGATTGCTTATTGATTTTTTGAAACAGGGGGCAGTATATCTAACTGTCGTAGACAACGATGTAACAAGTATGCTATTATTGAAACTATCTATTAATTTGATGAAAAATCGGAAAACTAAATTACAGTTCTGCATAAAATGAATGAACAACTCTTTACAGTTATAAATGTCGTTACTTTATCTGTAACAAATCGATACAAAAACAGTATCTATACAAGTCTAAATCGTATCAAAATATGGATGTTTTATATTCTCACAATTTTGATATAGAATTGTTATTGTTATAACAATACGTTGTACATCAAAACTGTATGATTTCGGAGCAATGATGCGGACAGTTCGGAGTAATTCGGTGCTTGGTGGTAGAGTGTTTTCTAGTGGGTTTCGGTGGGCGTCGATGGAACGGGAACGGCTAGTGGCGACCTCTGGCGGTCAAACATCTCGAGGATCAGCTTCGGGTCGGTTCCGGCCGGCACCGTCACGGTTCCCGTCTGGAGATAACGCCTCATGAGTACCAATGTACGTTCTTGCTTGCGGCATTGCGTGACGCCCGTCCGCTTTCTAACAAACCACTTTTATTTTACACTTTGCCTTTCTAGATATATTTTTATTGACGGTGGACAACACGAGCGGAAACGAACGAACGTCACAACAATGCGCATTTATTAATGATGGTGTTAGTGTTGCAAAGGAATGTTATAGAGTTAGAAATTTACAATATAAAAGGCATGCAAGGCGAAATGCCAAGCGTATAATAAAATAAAAATGATATTAAAGCAAAGTGTGGGGTACCTCGATGCGGGTGATGACGCCTTCCTCGCGACTGTGTTCTAGGACTACAAACAAAAACATAAAGCGCCCGTCAAACATACAAACAAACATTAAACATATAACAATATAATAAGCGAGGTATTGGAATATAATTATATAAATTTAATATACTATTATATTATATTAGACTAGAATACGATGTATTCTTACGGGTTTTATATCGGTGTATTATGTACCACGAAAGATGACACCACATTGTTCCAATTCCATATATACAACTTTATATCAAATAATGCAAAGAAACGTATACAACATTTGTAATAGTAGTACCGTTTTAACATTCCAAAAAGCAAATATGTAGTAGATTTTTGACATAATAGTATTCATTTTATAAATAATTATTTCTATCATAATGTATCTTACTCAAAATGTCATCGAAAATTCCCTATTTATATTACGTATGGGTATATCATACACGCACTCTAATGTCGCTCGTCAAGTGTTATCTTTCGTGGCGCGTTTATGAGCGTAGTAAGGTAATACTCAGCAAGATAGCAAAATAATAAAAGTATGGACTGATAAATTAAATTTATTGACTTTGAATAGCTTCAATGGTCTCGCGCGAGTGTTGGATCTGACCAATACACTAAAATTTTTACTACTTTAAGTATCAGTACAAAGCTTTTTACAGTAATTGCCTTCTTTTTTTGTAAGAATTTCGGACATGAAGCTAGCTCAATGCGGGTGCTTTTCGTCATGCGAGGTCTTACGGTATCGGTATATAATTAATAAAAAACATATTTTGGTATATATTATTGCAGGTTTTACGTGATTATTTCCATAGTCATCATCATCATTACAGACTTTCATAAGTCCACTGCTGAACATAGGCCTCCCCCAAGGAATGCCACAAAGCACGGTCCTGAGCCACCTGCATCCATCGCCTTCCTGCATGTCTTACCAGGTCGTCACTCCATCTAGTGGGGGGTCGTCCTATACTTCGCCTACCGGTACAAGGCTGTCACTCGAGAACCTTTCTTCCCCATCGGTTGTCGGTTCTTCGAGCTATATGGCCGGCCCACTGTCACTTCAACCTACTAATCCGTTGGGCTATGTCGGTTACTCTGGTTCTACTGCGGATATCCTCATTTCTAAGTTTATCACGCAGAGAAACCCCCGAGCATAGCCCTCTCCATAGCTCGCTGAGCGACCTTGAGCTTCCTCATACGGCCAGCAGTGAAGGACCACGTCTCAGATCCGTAAGTCATCACTGGCAACACTCACTGGTTGTACAATTTCCATAGTAATATTAAACAAAAGAAGCTCGCGAATAACCAGTTTTCATGTTTTCAGTTTAATTTTTGTAGTTACCTACTTTCAACTTCGTGGTCTTTTTAGGTAGTAGGACTGGGTCTTGGATAGTTTAGAAGGTGATACCTTCTTACCTATTTCTGCCGCCAACAGTGCTTGTACAGTTGTGCTCCAGTCTGAAAGCTATACTGACGCAGTATAACTTAAAGACTTTGGGACATTCTATCTTAATCCTCAGAGGTGATAATTAGTAATGCAACAAATACTACTTTTACGAATACGAATACGAATATCAAACCTACTATTCGGCGAATACGAATACGAATATCTCGCCATGGTAATAAAAAACTAATTTATATGATGATTATCTATTGTTCTAATAATTAAAATTTACAATAGGCAAATTTTTATTTAAAAAAATCTGTCTGGATGCTCCCAGCCGTTGACAAAAGTCTTTCCGATGCGACTGTACATAGTTTCAGTGACAAATATTTTTGGGAGTCCCCCGTCGTTGAGGCTAAGGGCCAAAACACGCGTCGTAATTATTACGCGCCGACGACGCGCGTTATCCAAGTCCGCCAGTAATTAGAGTAGCGTACAAAAACATTAGTTTTTAAATATTCGTGATCAGTGTTCGCCGAATACGAATATTCGCTAAGTCTACTATTTGGCGAATACGAATATTCGTATTCGTTGCATCACTAGTGATAATGCTTCTATAACCTTTGTTTGAAATTGGTTACAGATGTCCATGGGGTACAGTAGCCACTTACCATTAGGTGAACTGTTAAGTTCGTTTGTCATTTCAGTTTTAGTATAAAAAAAAAAATATTCGCGAATATTAAAATGTGAAAACTGCAAGAAAAGGATATGATCATAATGTCTTTTTTTGGCCTTTAATATGCACCAAATTGACGGAGACCGGAACCTTAACAAACATTTGGTAGGAAAAAAGAAACAAATAAGGTTTCTTAAAATAAAATTTTGCCTTTTGTTATTTACGAAATAGTCTTAAATTACAGCATTTATAAATGAGATCTACCAATATATTTTTCTATTAATGAGGATAATAGTCACTATGTCACAATGACAACATATATTGGACAATCTTGTGCAGAAATGTTTCAACCCACGAAAACATAAAGTTACACAAATTTGTAAGATAAATGTGTTTTTCTTATGGCTGAAGCGCTATTATATCATGTTATGTGTATCATTTTAAAGTAAATAGAAATAGAATGTATATTTTTCGGAACAATTTCATACTTGAGGGTAAGTAAGATAAACTATAAAAAGAGCCTTTGGATCATTGAGTTATATGTACTACGTACTAGAGAAGCCTTTCCAAACAAAAATTGTGTCCTACTCTATGTTTTCGCGCATGCGCGGGAGTAGTAGTCGAGCGTGCGCGAAAACTTTAACATAAAATAAGATATTAATATAAAATAAATATAAGAATTTAATATAAAATATCTTAATTTAATCTAAACAAACATATTTCTAAATAAAATGTAATAATAATTATTTTATGGAATTCACAAATCTTCAATTTACGCAATATTTAGTTTGTATGGATTGCACTACAGTTCAGTTGAACATAGTCAATGTTCGGAATGGCTTCTCTAGTACGTAGTACATATAACTCAATGCTTTGGATCATTTATGCTTAAAACGATCCAACTATATCCTCATTAGTAACAACCGAATGACGTCAAACGGCAAATACTATTATTAGGCGTATTGCTACGTATCGGGGGACGATATATAGTGGGGGGAGAAGCATGGGGGGGGGGGGGAGAGGTCAAGTGTGAGTGTCGGTTCTTTACGTTAGTAATAGTATTCTACGCTAGTATATCACTCGTACTCTCAATTTGAGACCGTAGGTATTAGATATTCTCGACTGCTCTCCCTGACTGTGCGAAAGAGACAAAGCTATATGTAATACTTCTACTTGGTTAGTATATTACCTATAAGACACGGTAAGTTGTATTATGCCCATAATTTTCAGCATTTTTTTTTTAAATAAACAAGAAAACATGGGTATTATCGATAGGACTCAATATTTGAATTAGGGTGTGTGAGGGATTTGTCCAACTAGAGCGAGAGTACTTACTGTTCTCGCCGGTGTTGTTGCTGGTGGTTGTAGTGGTGGTCGTAGTGTTGTTGGTTCCGTCCGCGTTGCTCTCGGCGATAGTCGTCCGCGTCGTGGTTTTTACCACTATCGAGCTCGTGTTCACTTGCGAATTCTGCGGTTTTGTGTAAAGTTATTTTTTAATTGTATAAGAGAGTGAGTAATTTTGTTCTTATTTTAAATCTAGATTATTATATAAAGTAATTACGTTAAACTAAAGTTAATATGTGCCATTCTGTAAGATAACTTGTTTCCAACCTGTAGGTAGTGACATGGTCCTGTTGCTTTAGTAGTTTTCGGGCAATAATTTGCCTCATTCTGAAGTGACCGAAAGAAGTGAAAATATTAGAGTGCTAGCTAATGCCCCCTAAGGGCATTCCGTTTTCCTGTTGATGTTATTTTAAGTACATAGGTAAATTTAAGCCTCATAAGCTACCTGAAGGTTAATGTTGAGCTCGGGCGGTGGTTCCGCGTTGGTGTGATCTCGTACTGAGTCCACCGTGATGTCCCCCGAAGCTGCTGTCACGTCGTGTACCGTCTCAGTTGATTCCTCCTGGGTCAACAACGTTATGGCGTGGCCAATGATTGATTTTTCATAGAATAACAGTGACAAACGAGATATGATAATGAGTTGATGCTGTGGCCTATCGGCATATACATCTATCCTCGATTGAGAATCAAAATGCAGATGCGTTGTCACCCCTGATGACTAGAATGGAATTCCGAATGTCCGGTTATCTACACTCACTGTACGAAACACAAAAGCACTAAGCGGCTTTTTTACGTTGGAACCGTGAGAGCGTGGTCCTCCTCCGGTCGATCTGACCCATTCGTGCTAAAACTATAATATAGCTACAGCATAGCTCTACCACGGAAGAAAGGTAACGGAAAGGTGGTCTTCTCGAAAGCCCGGTAAAAAGTCCACGCGTGCGAGAGAGATGACTAATCGCACAACCCATCTCCTTTTATATGACAGCAGTATCGCGTAGTAAATAATAAGGCTACGAGGTCACAACCTGTGTAGAACAGAGGAGCGTTTTGAAACAGTTTACGAGTTATTTTATTAGTAGATATTATTAATAGGGCAAGTAGGATTTCTCGGCTTGTATGGTAGCTTCGCTACCGGTAATAAGGCTGGCGACGAGGGGCAGCGTCAAAGGTGCTCACGTCTGGTGGTAATGCGATCATTAAAGACCACTGAGTAGACATAGACCTAATATAGGAAAGAACAACTGTCAGACAGTAAGTCACTGAACTCATGATGTAACTAAAATAAACCTTAGCCACCGATACTTAAGTAAGTCTTCAGTTAAAACTAAATCCCAGCCAGATCTAGTAAATGACATCATCATTATCATTACAGCCATTGTTGAATAAAGACCTCCCTAGCGTTCAGTGTTCATAGAAGTCATATTTGGCATAGTTGCCACGCAGGCAGGCGGCTTTGGCAACCGCAGATGTATATTATTTTGAGTTGTTGTCAGGAAGATGCTGCTGCCCATCTGTTTTATTTTCCTATGTCACCTCTTACGACACCTACGGGTTGAGATTGGGTAGTGGATTCTCTAATGCCGCCACTACACGACTATTAAATGTAGTAAATTCAAATTGTATACTACACAACACTACTTTAAAAAATGACTACGGATATTTGTAGTAAGTTTTTAATTAAAGCTGAAAGGTCTATTAAAGTTAAGTCAAATAAAATTAAAATACCTTATGTTCACCATTTGTTAGCGGCGTTTCTTCCACCGGTCCTCGAAGCGCAGCCGCCCACGGTGGCAACAGTATTTGGCAATGCGCGACTGTCACCTGACGAAAATATTGATTGGATTAATTTTATCAGCATCATTACAGCCTTTCACAAGTCCACTGCTGACCATAGGCCTACCCCAGAGAATGTAATAAAGAACGGTCCTGAGCCACCTGTGCTATCGACTACATCTCTAACCAGATCGTCACTCATCTGTGGGGGCCACCCATGGGCCCTACACCACATAGAGCTGGACAAGCTATGGGCTATGTTTAGCAGTGATGGACTACAATGATCATGATCATGATGATGATGATGATAATGATAACTCACACATTACAAATTAACTCAAACAAAACAAAATGTTGGCATACTAGGGAAATAGTTTTTTTTTAACTCGATATCATGCGGAACAATAAAGTGATAGATACTTATTCATAAAAATACTATCTAAACCTTCTTGCTGTTTTTTTTAAATAAATTTAAAATTTAGTCTACAGTGAAAGTTTTCATATAATTTCCTTCGTTCATCTGTAAAGAATAATCTTCAAAGTACTTAATTTGTTTTTCTGCAATGAGTCATTTATCATCAAATTACATACTACTTATATAAGAACAAAGTGAGAATTAAATATAATACTTACATTATGAATTAATATATATTACGTAATGACCGTCTAATAATAAGTTAGGTACCTTAGTTGCTGAAAGAGAAATCCTTTGAAGTTCAGAGGATGAGTGCAAGTAGAGAGCTTCACCTCGCTTTGAAAAGCATAGGCTTGAAATTCCACTGAAATAAAACGTTATAATTTTAATTCAATAGTGAAATATGTAATAATAATCCATAATTGAAAAAAAGACATTGGAATTTCTATTGTACACACAAGATACACAAACATGAGTATTGGAATGCACTTGTCTAAGCCTCAGACCAACAATCTAGATAGACTCAACACTACGAACTTTTTAAGTGACGCCGAAACCATGCTCAACTTATTCTATGAACACGCACTTAAATTTATTTTTCGTTCCTTAGCAGCCCATAAAAGTTCACATACGTCTAAAACCATTTTGTTGATTGCTACGAGGAAAAGTAGCCTTACCACCTAGTGAATAAAACACAATCAATGAATAAAACCGCATAGTCTGATGGATCAAGCTTATTCATTGGCTAGAAATGTGTTCTGGCGGATCGAAACAAAGTTGTTATATTAAAAACTTTAGTTAGGTCCGTGCATTTTTATGCTTGCAATAGAGTGTGTGTGAACAACAACTGGATATTGCCCCTTTCATTATAGAGGACTAGCTGTGTCCCGAGACTTCGTTCACGTGTTAGGGTTTTATGTTTTTGCGCGGAACCCTAATTCTTTTTCTAAAATAAGTCTAAGTTACTTCTTATGAAATCAGCTATCTGCCAGTGAAAGTCCCGTCAAAATCGGTCCAGCCGTTTCGGAGATTAGCCGGAACAAACAGACAGACAGACAGACAGACAAAAATTATAAAAAATGTATTTTAGTTATAAGTACCGTATTTACTTTCATATGCATTTAGTAAAAAACTGTAATTTTGACATTACAAACAGACACTTCAATTGTATTTATTTATATAGATTTGCCGTAATAGCCACGTTTGGCATGCTGATCGGTGTTGGCAGTAACAGATGATTCACACCTCTGGCGCTGTTTCGAACGTTTTGTGTTGTGTTTGTAAAATGATTTTTTTGACTCAGTTGCAGCAATAAGGGCAGCGTGTTCGGATTCCAGACGGGACCAGTATTTGTATGGCCTACAAATAGTTGTCTCGGGTCTGGATGTTTGTCTTTGTGTAATTTATGTATGTAATCCGCCTCTACGATACTCGAGAAAATCCTAGTGTGAAGGTAATTTTTTTTTAACAAAAGTAAAAATAAGATTGTTCCGCTACTATACAGTGGCAAGTATCTGTGCAGTAAGCTATTAAATTATACAGCAGACGCAATAATTGACCCCTTTGGATGTAAGTGAGTAATCTCAGTAGGTGTCCGTGACTCTAATGGGTTTGTGAAGACGCGTTTAGCGAGTTCATTAGGAGGTTGTAGACGTGGTGTGTAAGCTTATTTGATATCTTATATGATATGAGGCAGGTGTACTGCTACTTACTTGATATCCTCTTTGCGAACGGCGGCCGCATTGAGTTGTCTGCGAAGCTCCGGACTGAGCACCAGGCAGTCGCCCAAGTTGGTGAGGCACAGCAGGCACCACTCGCGATGCCGCTCCCCTCCCGAAACGCACTCGAACCACGCGAACGCTGTACGTCTCACCTGCCGATCATCATTGTATGTATTGACCTGATTCCGACTTCTTCCTATCACTATAGGATAAACAGACGTGGCGTCTTACCTTGTAGAACCATGCTGCAGCTATATTAGTAGTATAGTTGTAGCACGAATGGGTCGGCTCAACCGGGGAAGGACTACGCTCTCAGAGAAAACCAGCGTAAAATAGCAGCTTAACGCTGCTGTTTCGTATGGTGAGTATAGAGAACCGGAGACCCTTTTTACTGGCAAAGAGGCATTCCATCTTAATCCTTACGGGTGACAACGCATTTGCATCTTGAGTCTTTATTGAGGATAGATGTAGATGTCTGTGGGTCACAGTAACCACTTACCATCAGGTGTCTATCCTATATAAAAAAAAGACGCTTGGCGTTTCTCATAGGTTCCTATTTCAATTTCCTTCTGTTGACTCTAAAACCCAATAGGAAACTCCCTTGCCCTAAGACCCTCTCAGAAATGAGAGGAGGCCTGTGACTAGCATTGGGACGTATATAGGCAGTCACTTTAACTTTTTCTAACTGTTGGCTCTTATGATACCCACGGGATGCCTTGGGGTAGTGGGTTCTTTTACGCCACTACTACGCGGCAGTTATTGCTTTAAATTTTAACTTAGCTTATATTCGTCCCATTGATGAGCACAGACTTTAAACAGTGGTAGAGCCACGCGGCAGCTTTTGCTGTCGCATGGATGGGCCGGCTCGAACCGAGGTAGTACCACGACCTCACAGAAAACCAGCGTGGAGTAGAAGTTTACCTCTGCGTTTCGCTTGGTGAGTGCAGGTGGCCGGAGGCCCTTTTTACTGGAAATGAGGTATTCCATCTTAGTCCTCACGGGTGACAACGCATCTACATTTTGATTTGTAACAGAGGATAGATGTAGATGTCTATGGGCCGCAGCATCCACTTACCATCAGGTAGACTGTGTGCTCGTTTGTCACCCTTATCCTATAAAAAAAAAACACACCTCTTCGCATTTCTAAGATAGTTTTTAGGGCAAGGAATTGTGCGACACGTTGCCCTAATGCGTATTGGGGAACTTCGCATATATTTAAAATATTTATTTATATTTTTTAGAATGTTAGATTTCTCACGATATTTTCAATTTCATACTACCAAGGCTATTGCTACGGCTACTTTAGTTATATAACATTTACTATAATTGCAGGGTGCATACAATCGAGCACCATATCCTTCGTTCCATCGATCTGCGCAGATGATTTGTCTCTTGTTAAGATTGGATTCGCGTGCCGTACTTTGTGGTGTTCCTTGGTGGAGGCCTATGTTGAAGAGTGGACTTGAAAAGGGCTATGATGATGAGAAATAGAGGTAGGAAGTATTGGCGGGAACTTGACCGGCGGCGGATTGCTGCTCCTGTATTATTGTTTAAATAATGGTTTGAAGTGGAATTTGATACGGAAAATTGCGCACATGAACTATTAGTGGAAGCGAAACAAGTACTCCGATGGTGATGTGAATCTCAAGATAAGGTGTCTGTCTGTTTAGGCGCCTTGAGATACTATCGCCAACTGTCTGCTGACTCAATTTGCTGTTAAAATTTCTCAAAGGTTTATAAAGGATTATTATCACTCGATACTGAACTAAATGAAGACATGGCTTAAAGGAAAAGCATCCAAGCTAAAAATGTTAATGAATAAATATGAATAGAGGTATAATGTAGGCGCGACTGACCCGTGCGCCCTCGTGCGCGGTGAGCTTGTACTTGGAGTGCGGCTTGAGCGAGGGCAGCGAGAACACCTTGAACTGCTCCTCCGACGTGATGAGCACGCGGTGCGCGCCGCCCTCCGCCAGCGCCGCGCCCCCGCGCTCCACCTGCCCACACACAATCACAACGCCGTGTATTGCATTAATACGCACGGAAAACTTTGTACCCCTTTAAAGATAATGAGCGCACGAAGCGCTGTGAAATTTGGTAAAGATAACGTTCATATGTATGTTTAAAGGTAAATTTTTATATAATATGTGTTACAAATACATACATTAAATTAAATATTCATTGCTTACGTTTATACTGCCAATTTCAATGCGGCCAAACAATCGTACAGAGTAAAGACTGTCGTCACAGGATTTTAAAATGTTGCAAACAAAAGAATTATTGACATGTTACTAAATTAATAGTGACTTTTGTGTGATTTCTAATATTCCTTTTTGAATAGTCCATGTACACTGTGACAAAAAAACGTTTATTTTTTATTTTGTAAGTAAGATATGTGTTTCACTTATTAATGTGCAATTTGAGTTATATGAATGCTTTTATCAAATCATCAATCAATCAATCAATCATTAATTTTAAAATACATTTATAACTAGCGACACGTTCTGGTTTCGCCTGGGTGGATCTTTTAAAGTGGCATTATTTTGTGATTTCTTATATTTACGCAAAGACTACACATTAAATGAAACTAATTTTTACATTTTTTCGGGTGTAATTTAACTTTTTAATTACGTTGGGAATACTTTACAGCACCCGTAGTCAGGGGGGGGGACTATGATGTATGACGTCCCAATGTCATAGGAAGCCCGGCTACCTTCAGTTTTTGACTATTAATTTTTGATCCGATCTACGCAGAATGAGCTTAAGTATCTTGAAGTCTTGCAGTCGTAGACTTGGGTTTGGATTTAATTTTATTAATTATAAGATGCAAGCAAGGGATCCGTAAAACTTAGTTTCATTTAATGGCATTATTTAGATTTAAGATAATTATTAAAAACTATTTACTTTATCCTATCAATATTTCTATTTTAATAAAATTTCTAAATTTTTAGAATAAAATTTAATCAAGATCACTATTAGTCTCGGTCTCCATTGTATCGTAAAGTTTTATTAAAATCGGTTCAGCTATTCCGAAGATTAACTCGGACAGACAGACAAACGAAAATTTAAAAATGGTTACTCATGTTTCAATAACATGCAAATATTTTATACAAAAATATTAACAAACGAAATTAACAATAACTATAAATAAAACGCTCAAAACTCGTTCAGCTCACAAATTAGCAAAACAGGACTAAATTATTTTTTGTAGCATATGGCATTTTGTTATAAAACATTTGGCGAACTTATTACAAGGCCATGAAAACAAACCCATCTAATAATGAATGTCCGAAGTTCGTGCAGGCATCTTAGTAAATATAAAATTATACATCTAGTGTAATCAGAAATTTAAATACTTCATTTAAAACAAATTATTTGTACTATTTATATTCTTCATAATACTATTATATTATACAGGTTGTATTCATTTGTACAATATAGTGAAGTACATATTATGCAAGTAAATAAATTCGTGAATTGACAAGTAAATAGACAATTCAATAACCGAAACTAAGCATGACAAATTGGACTGAAGTTAAAGAACCTACGAAAAACGCATATCGCAACGTAGTTTCTTTGCAGTCTTTACCGGTGGGAGAGAGTATAGATAGTGTACGAGCGAGAGATGAATAAAGGCGGCGCCATTTTCAATCCCATTCTCTAACCGCACGGGTAGTATTAACTCTTGCCTTATTTTATGGTTAATTAAAACAATTTAGACAAATAATTTCAAGTTTGAAAAATTTAATTGCTAAGGGACCTTCAAAAAAAGTCTAATTCTTTCCAAAACTGTCGGTAACGCACTTGCGATTCGTCTGGTGTCGCAAATATTCTCGGGTCACGGTGATAACTTACCAACCTGCTTCTAAACATAATTTAAACTAACCCGAGGGTATTACTGGTCCTAAAATTATTTGTTTATTAATAAGGGGGCCAGTATACGATGTAAGCTTTGTGCAATAAGATAGAAAGCGGGCTATATTGTACTATCATACAAAGAAACAACACAACCAAACCCTCAGTAGTCAAACATTACCATAATATTCAAATCTACACTCATTGTATAGTACTCGTATAACATACCTCTAAAGGATCAGGCAGCGGTACAGAAGCTCCATCTAAAACTGTGATACCGATGACTGGTGCTCTGTGTTTCAGCTGTATCTCTTTCGCTAGTTGACATGTGACCTATGACAAATCAAATATTTATTTATATTGTTATATTTGAATTTAATATTATTATTATAACAATATTAGAATTTGTTTATGTTAGTTATTCTCATATACCATGATGATGCATGCCGTGGTGCGATACCGGTCGGTTTTAATAGTTATTATTTATATTAATAATTTAAAATAGATATTATGAAACAAGTGCAAGTGTTTATTCAAATCAGAAAAATGAAACTGGGAGTTTCACCAAGTGACAACAATCGCAAGTATAAAATATATTTGAAAATATCTTATATTTCATTATTCGTATATAAAAGAATACTCACCGGTTCTTCTTTCCGTTTGTTAGTATTTGGCACGTTTATCGTGAACGCGTAGACCGTACCATTATTTGTGCCCGCCCAAAGTGTCGGCGTTGAGTTTTGTGCTGTAATACAAGTGGTAAAATTAAAAATTTTGTACAACCGACTTCAATATAAATAAAATGAGAACATCATCAATGTAGTCGAAGCCAATTAAATACGCATTATTAAGGATAACTCAAAAACTACTGGTCAGATCTTGATTACCAGAGAAGCACTAGCTTTCAAATAAAAAAGAATCATCAAAATCGGTTCACCTAGAAAAGTACTGAGTCAACACACATAAAAATACAGTCGAATTGAGAACCTCCTCCTGTTTTAAACTATACAGGGTATTTTTGGAACGCTCCCGAAAACTAAGACAGGCGACAGCACCAAGTATACCTTTGATCATGGGTTACAAATAAAGTCGATCCTGATGAAAAAAAAAATAATCTTTTAACAACGTTTTATTAGCTTTATTCACGCGCCATCATGTTAGTACAGCTAAATGAAACGATAATTTCATAAAAAATATCATGAAAATACTGAAACATAAAACCAGCAGTGGAAACTGAATTGATATCACCTGACTAATGGAGGTTAATGTACGCGCGAACGGTGAAAAACAAACGCTAGACTTGAACTTGGGCACTGAGCGATTTATCACATATTGGTACGAAAGGCGCGCGACGGGGGAACAATCCGCCAGTATTAGAGTGCCTGCATGCTATTGGTTCCCGCGCTTTGTTCGCTCCAAACAGTCGCATACACAGCTTACTTTGCGACTCGCGACGATGTTTTAAAAAGGAAGGAAAGAAAAATTATTTATATCTATTGTTTTATGACTAAACTAGTGATCGAAAAGGTAAATATGATAGGAGAAGGTGAATGGGGAAAATTGTGCAGTAAAGTTAAAAGTGTGGAGGAAGAATACCGAAAAAATTACCATGTGATCGACCTGATGACGGAAGCTCAAGCGAAGATGAAAGTGATGATGAAGTAGCATCCAGTAACACCAACACACCATTAACATCTGGCTTCCATGTGACCCAAGACGTCATAATGGACGGCGTGTTACCCTTAGCTAAAGTTTTCTTGTTACAAACTACTTTATATTTTACGATAGAAATAACAAATAATGCTCATGTAAACATTATCCATTTTTAATTCCCACCTCTTCCAAAGTTCTAAGTAGCTAGTAAAACACCTATTATGATTCTACATTAAAACAATTAATTACTATAATATTATAAAACAATAGCCCAATACCATGTAGTACTTTAGAACGCGACTGTACCCACACCCCCTCCGCTATCGACCTGTATCTAGCTCGGTACGAAACAATGCTGCGGTCGTAAGAAAAAAGGGCGCATCTAACAATTTATGAATAAATGAGTTAAATATACCATTCGATTCATGATAAGAAGGCGCATCTACTAAATTTTTTTAATATTCACAAATATCAATATTTTAGAAATTATCGTAAGAATTTTAGACGTAACTGTTGATCACAGATGACTTTTTTTAGTAGAAAAGACTTATACAAATTCAACATAAAAGAAAAGACTTATTTAACCAGTTGCTACGTCATCTTTAACAATATTTGCATCGATTACTTAAATTTCAATTATTCTTGGTCTTGTCTTATTATTCTATATCTTATTATTAAGAGCTTATATCTTATTGTTAAGAGCTGGTGTTTCACATGTGGTCCCATATAAATTTGATCGAGGTCAGTTTTGAGTTATCCTTAATTATTTATATTAAAGTCGGTTGTACAAAATTTTTAATTTTTAATTATTATCGTAGTAAGTCTTGTATGATATCCCCTTTAAAATCATTACTCAAGAGTTGCGGGTTGTTATTTTTTGTGTCTCACTACCAATGCTTTTCTAATATTTATTTAAAAAAAAAGTAGTAAATTACTATTAGCGCGTCCTTTCAACTTCAAATGACCTTTCCAAAATATGTAAAATTGTTAAATGAATGGCAGTTTTTTTTTTAATTTATTAGGTTGGAAAGACGCAAATAGTTATATGCGTCTTTCCTTCGATGTTTTTGTGTTGCCAGGTGTATTTTTTAAGCTAAGATGAAAAGGAAAATTCGTTTTATTTAAATAAATAAACAAATTATCAAAAAATTTGTTCGTCCTTAAAATCTTCATGTCTTTACGTATATATTTCAATTTTCATATAGATACCTTTTAATATACTTTAGACACAGGGTCTGAAAGAAAAAGTCATCAATTTATTTTTTATTTCCATTTTACATTTTTGTTAGTTGCGTCCTTCTTTATGTAACCCGACGACGGCAGAATGTAACCCGGCCGGCTCGTGTCGCCTCACGCTGTGACGCAGTAGACAAAGAGTATAATAACTGTCCTAGCAGTAGGTTTCAGTTTTGTTGGGGTTCGTTATTAATTGTAGTTTTTGAAACAGTTTCGTGTTGATTTTGTACACGCGTGCGCGAGCGACAGCTCAATCGTATTGTTATTACTTGTGATTACGTGTTGGTATTATTCTTGTTGTTACGTTTTTTGTTTTAATAATGCTTAACGCGTACTTTTATAGTGATTGTGAATACAGCAACATGTTATCCGAACCCAGGTACACGAAGTATCGCCAAATAAATTGTTAAGACGTCGGGATGGAACAAGTGTGTCATACTGTGCAGTGCACAAAGTGTTGAAGCGTAACCGAATGCGCCCATACAAATTGCACAAAGTGCAAGCTTTAGTTCCCGGCGATCACGACCGCCGACGAGTTTTCTGCCGTTGGTTATTATACCAGCGACAACGTGTGCTTGGTTCCATTGAGCACATTATCTGGACGGATGAGTCGACATTTACCAGAAACGGCCTGTGGAACCGAAGAAATACACACGTGTATTCAGAGGTTAACCCGCACGCTGTTCAACAAACCGGGCACCAAACCCGATGGTCGGTTAACGTATGGGCAGGTTTATTTAAGGATCGCATACTGGGACCAGTGTTTCTGCCACAGCGACTGAACAGACAGCGATACCATGTCGTGAGGTTCGTCCGTGAGCGCCTCAATGAGCTATTTGATCCACCTTTCCACCTTTGAGCCACCTCGCTCACCAGATCTGACCCCGTTAGACTTCTTTTTGGTATGTGAAAGAAAGGGTTTTTAATCGTGAGTGTGATAGTGCTGACAAAATGCGCCAAAGGATCGTGGATGCTTTCGAGAAACTATGTACGGACTGTGTCGAAGACCACACGATGATGCCCCGCCTGCATCCAAATCTACCTTGAAATGAATGGAGCACAATTTGAGCTGCATCTCATAAGACCACGGAGGATTTAGAGCGGTAAGCTGTTTCATAACTATTTTTTTTAAATAACTTAGTACTGAACTAATCTGAATAGGTACATAACTGAATACATGAGAATAATAAACATACCTACACGATGAATAAAAACGCATGACTCCAACCTTGGTTACATTTCATTTAAGTATTTTTTCATTAGCGTATGTAGTGGTATGGCCCGCTAGTTGCGGGCCGCACGAATTTGCGTTCGCGAGTACATTGACCTTTAGTCAGGTGATACAATTCAGTCATTCCACTGCTGGTTTTATGTTTCAGTATTTTCATGATATTTTTTATGAAATTATCGTTTCATTTAGCTGTACTAACATGATGGCGCGTGAATAAAGCTAATAAAACGTTGTTAAAAGATGATTTTTTTTTCATCAGGATCGAATTTATTTGTGACCCATGATCAAAGGTATACTTGGTGCTGTCGCCTGTCTTAGTTTTTGGGAGCGTTCCAAAAATACCCTGTATAATTACTACTGTATTAAAAAATAGTGGTTTTAAATATTAATATATTTTAATTGAACTTACTGTTAATAAGGAATGTCCTCGCGAAATATAGGCAGCGCACCATAGAACCGAACGCGTCGTCATTAGAGCGGGCCTCAACGGCACGCTCCACAGGTTTAATCTCAGCATCTGTCTCAACAATTTTATCGCCTGGCTTCTTCGCCGCTGGCTGCAGGAATAAATTGAAAATAAACGAAAATTGTAAATAGTTATTTTCAAATTTCCAAAAGAAAGTTGAGAATATTAACATTATTTCTTTACTATCTGTACTTGTAGGGATTAGTAGAATATTAATTAGCGTTGAAATATTTTTTATAAATGACTGAGTTTTGTTCTTTTAATTTTAAACATTAGTAATACTGTGAACGAACTAATGACAACCAGAAAACCATTGAAAATATTTTTTATTATAATATAATTTTTTGATTCCACATGTATAGATAGCAAAAAAGCAGATAATGCTCTAAAGCAAGACTAATATAATGAATGTAGAATTTTGTGGAGAACCTGTCGAACATGGGTTATAGAAGAAATATTGCGAAGCGCGTTATATGTATAAGTCAAATATACCATAGAGAAAGCGTGTAAGCTTCAAATGTTTTATACGAGCAAAGCAATTCATTCTAGAGATGCTCGACTAATGAGCGGTGAAATCCTGTAACGACTTAGGCTTATAGAAATTTCCAGTGCAAATAATAAAGCACAAATGTGCATTCAAACTTCTGCTCTAAAACAAAACGAAATGTTTATTATTGCAAAGTTCGATGAACGAAGTATTTGTGGCAAAGCTATATATACACTCATTTCAAATGTTACTATGGGCCGGACTCTTTACAATTTGGATGGTAACATACTATGTCGTCTATTGTTGAATGTACTTGTACCGAAGAGTCAGACTGACTGCTCAGCTCGCTGTCGAGTCCAGACTTCCAAGTGGCGGAGGAAAAATGTACAGATTAAGTTAAAGTTATTTTGTCAAGTATTTGTTAATTAATAGTAATTAATGAGGATACAAACTTGCGACTGTGATGTAGGACTCGCAGAAGTATTTTGACGCCGTTGCGATCTGCCTTTCCTTAGCCGTCGGAACGATTCTCGAAGTGACTTTTTAAATGATTTTCGTCTAGATATTGGGGTGTCTCCGGCACCAGAATGATCTAGACAACAATTGTTTTATTAGTATTGGAAAAAGTTAGGGACAGTTCTATATCATCGCATGATATAAAATATTAACAACATAAGGAAATATTTATAAATTTATTAATGACGGCTCCGTGGCGCAGTGGCTTACCAATGAGTTGCTGCGCTGAGGGCCGCGGGTTCGAATCCCGCACGTAACAAGTATTTGTATGGCCTACACATAATTGTTCCGGGTCTGGATGTTTGTCCTTGTGCAATTTGTGTTTGTAAACTGCCTCCACGATACAGGAGAAAATCCTAGTGTGAGGGTAATGTTTTAAAAAAATATATATGGCACGATCTTAACATGGATGCAAGTGGATCAGTACCATGCTTTGTGGCATTGTTTGACCACAAAGTATGAAGGCCTATGTAACGGTAATGGACTTGTGACGATGTATAGTATATTATTGTAGCGTGTAGTTTGACGGTGTTCAGCGTTAATGCTGCAAAGCTAATGTCCAGTCATGGAATTTCATGGACTAATGCAAACGACAAAGGTGCGTGCAGTCCACTCAACGCATAACAGTAACAACGGGCAGCGTCAAAGGTGGGATGATTTTTGGTTTTGCACTTGAAAATTCGCGTGCATGCGGCGGAAAATGTTGATCACCTGGTTAGTAGTAGATATCAGTCACATTCAACACCCCAGAATCTAAACATGTAGTCAGACGATGCATTGTGGTGTAGTAAGCTGTGATAAGATGAGGTGGTGGTGGCGGGACCACGCCGAGCATCACTCACCATGAGAGTTAAGCATGCAGTGGTGCAGTAGATGAGGCGCGATAATATAAAGTGAGTTCGGGAGACGAGGGAGCGCGCCAGTTCGTCATCGGACGGGTTAATTGTGCTGTTGTGAGCAAGTAAGGCGCGGTGAACAGTGATGAGGTGAGGAAGGCGGGGGCAGGTTCTGACTTCAAGTGAGTTTCTGAGACTGAAGTGAGGTGAGGTGAAGTGAAGTGAGGTGAGGTGAGGTAGTGTGGTTAGGTAAACTGAAGTGAGGTAAGGTGAAGTGAAATAGGGAGAAGTGTACTTCACTTCTCCTTATTTCACTAGTGAAAAGTGTGGTAAAGTGAAGTGAGGTAAGGTGAAGTGAAATAAGGTGACGTGACGTGAGATAAAGTGAAGTGAGACGAGGTGAGGTGTGTTAAAGAGAAGCCGGCGCACACCACGCCCCACTCCCACTGCGCGCCCAGCGCCGTCACCGTGAAGTGAAGTGATGTGAGGTATGGTGATGTGCGGTGAAGTGAGGTGAGGTGGGGTACGGACCGTGCGGGTTGAGCGTGCAGCGGTGCAGCAGCGGCGCGGCGGCGAGCGCGTCGAGCAGCGCCAGGCCGTGCGCGGTGCCGGCGCACACCACGCCCCACTCCCACTGCGCGCCCAGCGCCGTCACCGTGAAGTGAAGTGATGTGAGGTATGGTGATGTGCGGTGAAGTGAGGTGAGGTGGGGTACGGACCGTGCGGGTTGAGCGTGCAGCGGTGCAGCAGCGGCGCGGCGGCGAGCGCGTCGAGCAGCGCCAGGCCGTGCGCGGTGCCGGCGCACACCACGCCCCACTCCCACTGCGCGCCCAGCGCCGTCACCGTGAAGTGAAGTGATGTGAGGTATGGTGATGTGCGGTGAAGTGAGGTGAGGTGGGGTACGGACCGTGCGGGTTGAGCGTGCAGCGGTGCAGCAGCGGCGCGGCGGCGAGCGCGTCGAGCAGCGCCAGGCCGTGCGCGGTGCCGGCGCACACCACGCCCCACTCCCACTGCGCGCCCAGCGCCGTCACCGTGAAGTGAAGTGATGTGAGGTATGGTGATGTGCGGTGAAGTGAGGTGAGGTGGGGTACGGACCGTGCGGGTTGAGCGTGCAGCGGTGCAGCAGCGGCGCGGCGGCGAGCGCGTCGAGCAGCGCCAGGCCGTGCGCGGTGCCGGCGCACACCACGCCCCACTCCCACTGCGCGCCCAGCGCCGTCACCGTGAAGTGAAGTGATGTGAGGTATGGTGATGTGCGGTGAAGTGAGGTGAGGTGGGGTACGGACCGTGCGGGTTGAGCGTGCAGCGGTGCAGCAGCGGCGCGGCGGCGAGCGCGTCGAGCAGCGCCAGGCCGTGCGCGGTGCCGGCGCACACCACGCCCCACTCCCACTGCGCGCCCAGGGCCGTCACCGCCGCCGGCGGTGACAGCTGCGCCACCGCTGTCGCCTGCAACCACACCACAATCATCAAACCCCCTGCCCCCCACTCAAAATCGAATAAAGACTATGATGGGTCCCAAATAATTTCATACATACATATAATCACGCCTCTTTCCCGTAGAGGTAGGCAGAGACCACTTCTTTCCACTTGCTACGATCCTTACATACTTGTTTCGCTTCGTCCACTTTCATTATTCCCTTCATACATGCTTTTCGGTTTAGGGTACTCTTGACCTGGCCTTTTTTCAAGACGTCCCTGATTTAATCTAGAAACGTCTGCCTAGGTTTACCCCTTCCAACACTTTCATTCACTCTCGCCTTATACACCTTTTTCGTCAAACGTTCTTCATTCATTCTCCCGACATGGCCAAACCATCTCTGCATACCTTTCTCAATTTTTGTCACTACATCTTCTTTCAGACCACAACGTTTCCTTATCTCACTATTTCTTATCCTGTCACTCAGTTTAACTCCTATCATACTTCTTAACGCTCTCATCTCAACTGCATTTATTCTGCTTTCATGTTTCTTCTGCCATACCCAACTTTCACTTCCGTACATGAGTGTCGAAACCAACACCCCCTCATGCACAGCCAAACGACCCTTATTAGACACCTTCAGACTGCTCATAAAGGCGTGCAAAGCTCCATTCACCATGTTTCCTGCATTCACTCTTCTTTCGATATCACTCTCACACTTTCCCACTTTTCACAATAATTTCGGACATTTATAAAGCATAACTGGAGTGGATGAAACAAACATAAATGAAGTCTTTGCGAAAAATGTCTCATTTATTTATAGTAAAAGTCTGAATCCATAAGTTTGTAATCATAAAAGCGATAGTGTCCATTCTTTTTCATCCTCCTTTAGTTTTATTATGCTGTCGGATAACTTAATTATCACGAGGTTAAAGAGACTTGACTTCGTTGTTTATATATCAATGTGCTAAGCAACTATCATTGACACTTACTTGTATCTTCAACAAATCTCTTAAAACTAGAATCTTTCATACTTACTAGAAAATGGCTAAAATTGTTCCCATTTACGAAGATGGTACTAAGAATAACATAAAAAATTACAGACCATATCAATTTTATGTACTTTTTCAAAATAATTTTGAAATTTTTATCTACCCTTATGTTTACAATTTAATAAAAATTTCAAATTACTGATCATCAACATGTATTCTTTAGAAATAGATCCTCCATTACTAATTTAATTGCGTTCACGAATTATATTACCCAGCATGTGGATTAGGGTTCTCAAGTCGATGCTATTTATACTGATTTTAGCAAGGCATTTGATAAAGTAGACCATGACATACTTTTGACATAATTAAGTAGTTGTGGTGTTGGTGGTTTCATTTTGGATTGGTTAAGATTTTATCTAACTCTTCGTGAGTGTTATATAATTGTTAATGGGAGCCAGTCTAAATCATTTAAGGTAACCTCGAGTGTTCCTCAAGGGTCACATTTAGGGTTTTGTAATTTTTTTGTTTGTAATTTACTGTTACTGTTTACCTGTTTCCTGACGATTTGAAATTCGCTAGACCTGTTAGATCATCGACAGACTCCCAGCTTATTCAAGCCGATCTGGATAGATTGATCAAGTAGTGTAATCAAAACAATATGCTTCTGAATGTTAAAAAGTGCAATAATATGTGGTTCACTTGTAAACATAGTCCTGTCTAAACTATATACAAAATTGACAACACAGGACTCAATCAAGTAGAGTGTGTATACGTGACCTACGCATTTTGTTGGACAGTAAACTGTCCTTCGTACTACATGTAAATAGTATTATAACGAAGGCGTCCCAAATGTGCGGATTTTTAGCTAAAAATACCAAACGGTTCAAACATACTCAAAATTTACTACTACTCTTTCACAGCTTAGTTCGGAGCAACCTTGAATATTGTTCTCAAGTTTGGTCTTCTTTCTATGAGGTTCATACATGCAGAATTGAACGAGTACAGCGGAAATTTTTGGATTTAAGCTTCATCTACAAACTGTGCAATAATGGCATCGACTATCCTCAATTACTGGAAACGGTTAACATTAATGCTTCAAATAGATCGCCTCGTTTTAATGTTTACAAGCTGTTTATATTCCCACCTCACAGGACTAACCTCGGTCTTTATTCGGCATTATCCAGAATGTTTAGACTGTATAATGATATATCTAGGCCATCTGTTTAGATATTTTCAATGACAATTGAAATCATTTCAGAAGAAAAATGTTACTTTATTTAGATGATAAATGTAATCAATTCTAATTTCTCATAAATATTCAATTTTGCTACTGTACTACTAAATTTTAATTATATATTTTTTTTTCTTTAATAGAATAAGTGTGACAAACGAGCACACAGTCCACCAGGTAAGTGGTTGCTGTGGTCCATAGACATCTACATATATCTTCGTTTGCGAGTCAAAATGCAGATGCGCTGTCAGCCGCGAGGACTAAGATATAATGCCTCTTTTCCAGTAAAATGGGTCTCCGGTCTACACTCACCATACAAAACACAGTAGCATTTAGCTGCTATTTTACGCTATTCTGTGAGAGCTGTGTTGTGAAATGATATCTATATCTTTCATCTTATATTTTGCCTGGAATCAACATTTGTACACCCACTCGGTGAGATGGGGCTGAAAGATTCACTTATGACACCACCAAATTTACAGATAACAAAAAAAAAAGTTCAAAATAGAACCAATTAAAAAGGAAAAATATTTCATTACATATAACAATAATTATTACACATACAAGAATGAATAATTGTCACGCTGGCTTTAGTCCATAGAGATGAATTGATTCCCTTATAGGGGAAATTTTGCCATAGTTGACACGCTTGGCGAGAGGGTTGTCAACTGCAGTTTTTTTATTATTTTGAGTTGATATCAGGAAGATGCTGCTGCCCATCACCTGTTTCAGTTTCCCTCTGTCACCTCTTACGACACCCACGGGACGATATGGGCTAGTGGATACATCTTTTTTGTTGTTACACCGCCACTACACGATCACGGTCATGAATTAATTACATTCCCGATAAAATGAATTATTATTATGAAATTACCTGATATCCTTGGGGAAAATTGTGCGTACCGGCGCGAAGCGTCAGCTGGTCGTGTCCCTTCCAGACGAACCCGTCGCGATCCGAAACAATGTTCACCGACATTGACTGCGAACAACACAGAATGTTAACAATATTAACTAATTGTAAAGGTCTTTTATTGCTATTATTATCTATGTTTTTATATTGACAAAATATGTGCCGTAAATTGGGGTGAATAGAAATCGCGGGGTGAATAGACACAAATCTGGTTATTTCATAAAGTTATCTCTAGGTTTGTCTATAGCTCGGGAACGTCTGTTAATTACTACTGTTTATTATTTGCCAACATTTTCCCTTTATTTTGGTAACCTTTAATTAGTGTCAATTTTGACGACAGTAATGAAAAAGGCGGTTATTATAAACGTGTGAGTACAAGTGGTTTTATGCTGTGTAAAACTTTTAGTTAAACATCAAGTTCTTCAGTGTTACCTTGTTGCAAATTTTTTTTAGGGAATTGAGTTTTTCATCTGTCATTAATAAAAATATGAATATCGATATTGAATGATTTTATTCTTTTAAATAGTAAAATCAGGATACTGGTATTTTTTCTTGAAGTCGAGGTGAATAGATACGACTGAGGGGTGAATAAAAACGCGTTTGGGGTTAAACGAAGAAAGGAGTGAATCGATACGAATGAGGGGTTATTAGAAACGTAAAAGGGGTAAATAGATACATGATTTTTAAGGTTGTCCAAAAATATTTGCACCATTTACTACATAAATTAATTTAAGTAGCTAATTGAAACTAAAATAAAAAAAGGTTTAAACCATATTAAAGGTATTTAAAAGTCTTCTATTATAAATGTAAAATTTTGATATTTGTTATACATTAAAATTCCAAATACTTGAGGTTTTACCATTACATCAGATAGAAGTTGCTGCAGTAAATATACTTAGTGTGCTCATATGATTTAGTTCTATCTAGTAGGTAAATATATCATTCATTATAATTGTATTTTATTGTTTAACAGAGACGCTCGGTATACGAGTAAAAAAAGTATCTAAGCGGTGCGGAATAGTTGTGACGCGAGTTATCAGCTTCAAGTCCCGATATTATGTCAATTTACATTTATGTTTAGTGCTTACATAATTTTATAAATAAGTAATATTGATTTTTAATCTCGTCTTGTTACCTACATTTTAAAATAACCAAAGGTCATTATCAACACGTAGAATAATATCATAATTAGTGTTATATAGTTTAGCAAACTTTGAAATATTTATTTTTATTTTCTTAAAAAAATATGTTCAAAACTATGTAAGCAGTGGCTTATTTATCTAATAGCTTTATGTCGGAAATGCTTACGCTGCAAAGCAGTTAAATTACATTACTCTGATATTTTTAATTTTTATAATATGGAATTGTATAAATATCAGATTTGTTAACTAATTAGTTTTTATAATGACAATTTTGATCTAGTTATGTTTTCTTTCATTTGACTCACAACTCCCGTACCTAAATACTACAACAAAAGCACATTTGACAACCCTAGCATTCTTTCTCTATTCACCCCTATGTCGTTTCTTTTCACCCCGGATTCCCGGAATATAGAAACCGACTACTTTTTTCTAAAATACAACGAATTTGCATGTTTTTACTCGTTTGAAGCATTAGTATTCGATAAACTACAACAAGACTCACAACATTAAAGAGTTTTATTATCAGATTATATTATACAATATATATAAGAAAAACAGTGAAGAAGTTGAAAGTAGTGTCTATTCACCCCATTTTACGGTACGCACACCATATCTGTGTGTTCATGGAAGCGTGGGGACGATAAGATTTAACATACATATTAATCGTAAAGGAATGCATCATGATTAACAATTATTATTATAAGGTTGTTTAATACTACATTTACAGTGGATTTCATTTTTTTATAGGATCTGGTGACAAACGAGCACACAGTCCACCTGATGGTAAGTGGTTACTGTGACCCATAGACATCTACATCTATCCTCAATAAAGACTCAAGATGCAGATGTGTTGTCACCCGTGAGGACTAAGATGGAATGCCTCTTTGCCAGTAAAAAGGGTCTCCGGTTCTCTACACTCACCATACGAAACACAGCAGCGTTAAGCTGCTATTTACACTGGTTTTCTGTGAGAGAGTGGTCCTTCCCCGTTCGAGCCAACCCATTCGTGCTACAACCATAATATAGCTGCAGCATGGCTCTACCACGTAGGGATTTATTGCGACCTTGGTTGTAGCGACCATTTACCTATAGCGACGCTAAATCTAAGTCCCTTGAATTTAAAACATATTTTACTACAAAATTCATGTGGCTATAGCGACTTTGGATGTAACGCCGAATTCGTTTGTAGCGACTGTTTTTAATGAATCATTTGTAACAAATTCCTAGAAATCCCATGCAGATATTGCGACCTGAGTGGCCGCCAAAGACAAAAGTTTCTTTCTTGCACAAACATTTCTTATCTTTTGTTTACATCCACACAGATGGTCAGCAAGTGTGGAGACCTTTACCTTTTGTTTATAGATATCAGCTAAGTATATAGGAGGGAAGCGTGTACGTTTCGGAGTTAAATTTATGGTTCAGTTACAAAGCGACATTCTGAGTAGCAACTGTAATGTATTGAATTTGTTACCTTTGCCTGTAACGACTTCCGGATATAACAACGAAAATAGAGTGGTCCATTCATCGTCGTTATACCCGAAATCCACTGTATATTTAAAGAGTAAAAAATTAAAACAACATCGAAATTTGATAGAAACATTAAGTAAATTTTATTAAGTAAGCGATGAATTAATAGATAAAGTGAGAAAAAGTATGTTTGGGTAGTAGCTCACTTTTATGTACAGCTTAAACAATTGCTTAGGAAGAAATATTAATATAATACAGACTAAAAAAATGTCAAAGTAGACCTACAAGCACTTACTTTAACTTCGGCAGTGCTCGGAGAAGTCTTCAAGCTGGCAATCACAATGTGTCCAGCCGCACCGCCAATTGTGAGCATACCGGATAAGGGACAAAGGATAACCTGGAAAAAAATAGATAATCTTTTAAAATACCAATGCTTTTTTGACCTGCTGCTTCATTATTGTGGTTATCCTTATGTTAGGTCTACACAAAAAGAACATCTGTTACGTTTAAAAACGTACGTAGTATGAAATTGTCATCCGATGATGACGACTATTAGTACCATACCAATTTATAGTTGTGTGTAGTGTTTTGTTCGCAATCGCAGTACCAGATGACCAGATCATTGAATGCTAATTTTTATGACATTAATTATGGCAGAATCGCTGGAGTATCTCAGCGCTAAGCTCAATGACCACATTAATGTTTCCCAGTGGATAGGTCTTTAAATGAACATGGACACGATAAAAGTCAATAATTTCAGGTAAATGTCACACATAGGCCTGTAGTTGTTGGGAGCACTACACTCGCAAGTTGTTAACAAGGGCTTACTGGTACTAGTAGTAAGTTACTAAGTTACTTAGGACATTGTCCGACTAGGTAAGTCCAACTTTGACATACCTAGTCGTACCATGGCTGTTTTTTAAGTTATAACTAGCTGTTCCCCGTGACTTCGTCCGCGTGGAATTTATTACGATCGGATTTCATTACTTTTAATTTTTTTATGCGCGGAACCGTAATTCTTTTTGAAAATAAAAGTAGCCTAAGGAGACCTTATAACATCAGCTATCTGTCAGTGAAAGTCTCGTCAAAATAGGTACAGCCATTTTGGAGAATAAACAGACAGACAGACTTTTTATTGTTGTTTTTCTTTGTTATAAGTTCCGTATATACTTTCACATGCATTTAGTAAAGAGTTATTTTCACTTTACAAACAGACACACTTCAATTTTATTTATTTGTATAAAAAATAAATTTACCCTCTATAAAGTAATAATAGAGCCAATATTATTAAGGACACTATCTTAAGTCTTACCCGTTTAACGGCCAGTCTTGGATCGTCACTGTACGGATCGAAGGTACCGACGCGTTTAAAAGGGGGCCATTCTTCTTCGTCGTTCTGACTGTCGTTGTTCTCGCCTATCTCTTCACCGCTATAAAAAAGAAATCGATAAACATAAACAATAGATATTACACAATCGACTACAACAGTACCTCATTATTTTCTTAGATTTGTACATTTTGCACTTAAAAAGGGGGCATATTTACAATTGATTACAATATTACGTTCAAAACGATTCTTCAGCTTATTTTAGATTTTTCTCTACTAGCTCAATGATCTTTAAACAATTTATTATTTAACTCTGTAACTAAATAACAAGTGTATGAACGAACATAATAATTTCAATTTTAAATAATAATCTATAAACATGCTCTTCTAGAACGTATTTTTATGCACTGTGGCGTGGATGTGAAAATAATAACTATAACATATTATTATGCAGTTTGTTACTGTTATGTGGGTGTGGGCAGGCTTAAATGCAATGTGAGATATTAAAACATACGACTCCTGATGTGCCGGCGATGTTGTTCTTGTAATTAAATAATTCTTAACTGTTTAATAATAGAATAAAAAATACGTGTGCTACGCTACAGCTCAGGGTTGCAGCACGAAGGAGGTGGCACATCCCAGGAAGAATAACGCTCGCATTGAATATTACCGTAAATTAGCAGTAGCATAATGCTGCTGTCTTTTGTATTATTGTTATTATTAATAATAATAATAATATTTATTTGCACACCATACAAAGTCCTTAAACAATAAATACAGAATGTTTATTTGTTCAATTTCAGCTGACGATTACAATATTATTGTGAGAGACAAGCTTTTTACTGGCAATGAGGCATTTCATCTTAGTCCTCAGGCGTGACATTGCATCTGCATTTTGATTTCTAATAGATGTGGTCTATGGGTGATATCATTCACTTACTGTGTTCTGTTTTGTCACTTCTATTTAATTTGTAAGTGTTCATATGCCCAGTTTGCTTTATATTACCCGTATTTAAATAATGTCTAGTGTTGTGACAACATGCTGTTAAATAGTTAAATAAAAAAATGTTTTAATCAAACCCCTACCAAATTGTTTTACATACTCTAGTTTACTTATAATATCCTCCAGACTGAATTATACTGCACTCTCTATTTCCCCACCCTCACAGTCCGATGGGACGACAATTCTATACGACCCGGGAGAAATTAGGCGCACGAACAACGACTCCACGTGCTTTGTGTAACATCTCAACTTTCTGCTACTGAGCTTTTTTTACAGAAATACCCATTAACAGATTTTTGGTCCAACCCGCGATTCAAACCCGGGAACACATGAGCAGCAATCGTACTTATGACCACTAGACCAAAGAGGGAATTCAAAGGTGGTGTACCTATCCTAATGGGTATACATTATAACAATACTATTTTGATACTACAACAGCTGTGCTCACATTTAAGATATAAATTAAACAGTGATCTAACAGTGATATTTTTGTTCAAGAATAGAATTCAATTACATTAGTTTAAACACTCAACGGCTTGCCCGGCAATGTGGTTTGAATGAGCAACTCTATTGAGCTATTCATTCTATTCCTGTTGATATATCTTTTGAAATGCCTATGACGTATTGCCTATAACATATTAATGTGCAATTTGCTATGATGTCTTTATAAATCAAAATAGAGGGGAATGACGAACGGGAGAACAACGACTAAGTAGCGCAGTTGCTATACATTTGGTCGGTGCAAGAACGCAGGTTCGTATCCCGCACGGAGCTAGTGTTTGTATCATGAAGCAAATACAAAGAGGAGACGTTGTAATTAAATTTTACTATGTAACAACGCGTGACAATTTGCGGGGTGAGGGGATGCAAAGCTCCGCCCACTTTACATTATCTACATCTACCGATAAATAGTAAAACTACTCGAATCTTTCCATATCGATGTTGTAATGTAGCTTAGCTACCTTGACGGTAGATGGCGGCATGTCCACAAAATGTTATAAACTATAAAAACAATATATTGACGATTAAATTTCTTTATGTCTGAATGCAAAACAAATTTCAGCACCTTCGTATGATTATTTTATCGTTACTGAGCTCTACGTACCTTTATATTTTTAGTCCACAGGACACAAAGTTCGCCATCTAGTGTGGAATATATTTAATTATATTTGAAAGCCGGCGCAAAGAGATTATTTTAGAACTATTTAAATAAATTAGGTGTAAAATTACTTACAAATGAAATGTGATGCCATCCATAGCATCGGAGCGTCTATCTCATGAAGCAAATACATTCAGACAAAGAAATTTTAATCGCCAAAATAATATTTTTATAGTTTTCATAATAATTTTAAACAGGGCGCCATCTATCGTCAAGTAAACCTCATAAAAAATAACAAACAGACAGGGCCGCAATTAGAATACAATTATTTTACCCAGTAACCCAAAATTCAATATTAAAATGAAGGAAATTGTACTTGGCTGATTTTTAAGAAATGTTTAAGTTTTATTTAAGTGACATTCTATATGCAAAGAATCACTTAAATACAATTTAAATATGTTTATCATTTCGTGAAAGTCAACCTTCAAGAAATATTTATTTTATCCATAAAATAAAGTCTCTTTGAAACTAAATATTCTATGTTCAATATTAAGTAGGATATTTAATTTGGAACTAAATATCCTATTTATCTCACTAATATTATAAAGGCGAAATTTTGTGTGTTCTTTCTGTCTCCTTGAGCTTATTCCACACTAAGTATGTGTAATTTTTTGACGCAGAAACGGCTGGACTATTATTTATGTGTGGGTTATACTACTTAATATCTCTGAGGGAGAACAAATAATAGACAAATTATTATAATTAATATAATTTTATTTACAAATCAATTAAAATATAAATATTTTATTCCAAATTAGGCTTCCGAATGCACTTTTTGAATGCCAATCTAAGAACATTAAATTGTATTTAAGTTATTCTTTGCATATAGAATGTCACTTAAATATAACTTAAACATTTCGTAAAAATCAGCATAAATACAATTTCCTGCATTTAATATTAAAAGTTGGATTTCTGGGAAAAATAATTGAATTCTAATTAGGGCCCTGTCTTTTTGTCATTTTTATGAGGTTTACTTGACGAGAATACGGCCTGTTCTTAAAATGATTATAAACTATTAAATAATATTTTGCGATTAAAATTTCTTTATGTCTGAATGCAAAACAAATTTCAGCACCTTCGTATAATTATTTTACCAATACTGAGCTCTACGGACCTTTATATTTTTAGTTCACATGACACAAAGTGTCGCCATCTAGTGTCGAATAGATTTAATTATATTTGAATCCGACGCAAAGAGATTTTTCTAGAACTATTTTAATAAATTAGGTGTAAAATTATTTACAAATGAAATGTGATGCCATCCATAACATCAGAGCGTCTATCTGAGTAGTTTTTACACAATAAAACACAACACTTCATCCTTTTCTTCTTAATACTACGAAAATACACCGATTTGCGATTTTTCAACACATAAGCGCACAGGACGAATGCTGACAGTATACTAACTAAAGCCACGCCCACTACGATGACGTCAGGACCTACTTAGAATCACAGTGCACAGTTGCTTATGCCGTCTACCCTTTGTATTAGCTTCATGGTTTGTATGGCCTATTAATAATTGTTCCGGGTCGGTATTCTTGTGCAATTTGTGTATAACCATGATACATGAGAAAATCCTATTGTGTGGGGGTAACGTTACAAAAAAGGGAAATGACAACCAATGCTTTGTGAATGTGAAACGCAATATTAATGAAAACTTAAATATTTATATTAATTATGCGATTTATAATTAATTGATGAATTTCAATTAGTTCTAAAACATTACAGTAAATGCATGAAACAAAAATAATCTCTTAATTAATAGAATGAAACCAGTCGTTAGTTATGGCTTTAAAAAGCCATTCGACAAAAAAAAACCCGACTTATCTCTATAGACAACTGAAACACGACGCAAACTAATATTATTATTAAACAAAAAAAACATTGCAATAAATAAAAGTTAGCAATAAGCTCCATAGACACGACTCATGCTTACAAAAACCGATTATTACCTCGTTGTCGCACGTTTCAGCCCACTTCGTAGCGTCGCAAGCGAGAAGCAAAACAAACTGTTAGATACACTTGTTCTAATGAAACGAGGCTCTTGAACTTTGTATCAAATATTTCATTTCTTATTTATAAATGACTAAACTTTGTTACGACATATTAAGCTAGCTTTAACATGTTGGATAATAAACATAACCCTATTTGGGTATAGCTAAAAACCTATATATATGTATACAGCCCTATATTTTTTTTTCATTGCTGTCTAAATACAATTTTCGTTGCAATAACAAAAAGAGATTACGCCAAGTTTTCATCAATCAATTTTTTAATCTGTTGACTAAGGGCTCAGAATACCCTTTATTTAATTCTCATGATGTTGAGGATTTAAGAGTAACCTTTTAAAATATTATTCATTATTCATTTGCCGCTTGTAAAAAGTTGATTATTATTAGATATCACCATATTAAGAACTGAAATTTTAAGATATATCAAGGACTATTTAAATGTAACTTATAAATATAAAACAAAGATATATTATAACGTAATAAGTCTGCAACAGGGCATTAAAAGTGCTCACCTAAAGAGTTGTGCTGTGGTGTACTTGTAGAGAGGCGTCATGGCCACTCCGCTCACGTCCCAGAACCGAATGGAGCCGTCCTCGTGTCCCGTCAGCAGCAACTGCCGCTCGCTCGCCTCCGCGTCGGCACTGGTCACTTCCCCGCCCGAGATCGGCCACGCACTGTCCGAGTACACATTCTCCGTTTGCTGCTGCCCTGCAACACAAATGTTTTCCAACAATTGTAGTGATATCCTCCGAAAAAGCAGGCCATGTGCGAGTCGGACTCGCGCATGAAGGGTTCCGTACCATCGTAAAACACGTTTCTAGGGGGAGGGGGGGATCCCTTACATTTTTTATAAAAATGCTGCACAGGAGATATTTTAGTTAGAGGTGCAACGATATTCGCTTCTGCCGATACGATACCGATATTATTCAATGAGACTGTTATAAACTTCCTAATTAATACAAAATTACTGACCACCGGATCAATGTTTCTTAATTACTACTACTACTACTAACAGGGCACGTACATTCCGAGTAATTCTCTTGACTAAGGATAAAAACACATTACCATGGGACACCATTGAGCTTAAAATAACTGATGCGATTTTCATTATTATATTTCTATTGCTTTCGTTCGGGGGTCATTGTAGAAGCGTGCTCGTCGTGACCCCTGCCAGCCCTTTTCAGGGCTGCAATTCTACATAGCTGCGCACCCCCGCGAGTGTTCAGGGGTGCTGACCAGGGAACGGATCACTATCTAGTGATTACTAGATTTAAGGGTCTGTTCGCGGGTTGACGCTACCGGACGGCAGTAACAGAACCACAGTCGGTCTCACTAGGGACAAATATAATGCGAGGGTAGCCGAAAAGCTTGACACCATCGATGGCAGAAAATAATGTTTGGAAAGAACATGGCAGAACCTTAGGGATGGAATGGTAAATGCAGCGGAAGAAGTGTGTGGAACGATAAAAAGGAGTAGTAAAAGAAGAGATGCATGGTGGAATGATGAAGTGAAAGAAGCTGTAAAGAAAAAGAAGAAAGCATGGTTAAACTACTTGGCCTCTAGTAATGATAAGGATATGAGAGAGAAGACGAAAGAAAGATATAAGCTGCAGAAAGTTCACACGAAAGCATTGATTGAGGAAGTGCGTGAAAGGTGTAGAATGGAAGCGGACGAAAGGTTGTCGCACAACTTTAAGGAGAACTCCAAACCCTTCTGGAAAGAGGTTGGAAGGACCCGAAGTGGTGCGACGGCCTTAAGAATGAACAAAGTGATTTCGAGAACCAATGACGTACTCTCAGAAAAATCGGACGTCATGCAGCGATTGAGCGAATTTTATAGAGAAATGTATGCGTGTAATGATCTTAGTGAGGGATCCGGGGGTGATGCCGTGACTGGTACGCCAGATCCGGACCTCGATGACACTGAGGTCATTAGTATGAAAGAGATTGAACGTGCGATTCGAAGTTTGAAATATGGTAAGGCTGCAGGACTAGACAGAGTTACTGCTGAAATGGTCAAGTATGGTGGGCCTCGCGTCTGGGACAGCTTTCATCTGCTGTGCAATTTGTGCTGGCGGACGGGGGATGTCCCGGATGATTGGCGATCCGCCAATCGATTATGCCTTTATATAAAGGTAAAGGTTCACATTTTGACTGCGGGTGCTATCGGGCGATCAGCTTGACCAGTTTAGCAAGTAAAGTTTACTCGAAGGTTTTGACACGTAGGATGCAAGAGAAATCGGAAAGATTTCTATGGGAGGCACAATGCGGATTTAGACCTGGAAGAGGATGTACGGATCAAATGTTTTCTCTCCGCATGATCACGGAGAAGCTTCTGGCTGCTAACCAGAAAATTTTCTGTGCTTTTGTGGATCTTGAGAAAGCATTTGATAAGGTTGTAAGGAAGAAAATGTGGGAACTGTTGCGTATAGGGTGGATGGTCGATTGCTAAGGGCTGTGCAGTCACTTTACTGTGACTGTAAAGCCTGTGTGTAGGGCATAACCTGTCACCCATGTTTAGCGTCCAAACGGGCGTAAAACAGGGTTGTGTCATGTCTTCCTGGCTGTTCATACTGTATCTCGACAGCTGTTTACAGAAGCTGAAAGATAGCTGTTTTTGGGTGTGAAATTGGGTGACATTAAAGTAAATTGTCTGCTGTATGCTGATGATGCAGTGCTTATTGCACCATCAGAGGCAGAACTGCAGGCATTAGTCACGTGTATGAAAGAGGAATGTGAAATTAAAGTTCTCCGTTTGAATGCTAATAAAACTAAGGTTCTGGTATTTGAAAGAGACGAAGAGAGAACGAAGGGTGAAATATGGGTAAATCAGGAATGTCTAGAACAGGTAAATGAAATTGTATACTTGGGGAGTGCTTTTAGCCGGGATGGAAGATGTGATTTAGATGTGGACAGGCGTATCGCTGCTGGGAACAAAGTCAATGGTGCCCTGACTGCGTTAGTCAAAAGGCAAGGCGTAGTGAAGAGTGCACGCCTTGGAATACATAACGCAGTGTTGGTACCAACTTTGTTATATGGAAGCGAAACCTGGGTATGCCAGAAGAAGCATAAAAGTAAGTTGAATGCAGTGGTGATGCGATCTCTTCGTAAAATGTGCGGCGTTACCATGGCCGACCTAAAGCGAAACAGTAAGGATCGTGACACTTGGCGATCTGTTCTCTCTGGCTACCCCGTCAGGGATTGTGCGTGAAGATAAGTAAGTAAGTAAGTATTGTTTTCGTTATTATTAAAATTGTTGAGAAGGTGATATATATCTCATATACATTTAGTAAAAAGCTGATATTTTGTAATTATAAACACGCTTTAATTTTATTCATTTGTATAAATTTATTATTTCGTTTTTCGAATATTAGAGGTACCCGAATTGGAGCTCTTACACAAGTGGTATGTAGGAAATTTTAATTGGGAACCACCAGATAGTTTGTTGTAATGTAGCCGAAGATGGTGAATCGCACCAGCTAAGCTGGACAAGATCCTATTCACTCTTGCTTTGAAAACGCCCAAATTTAATCCGATGGAAAGGCAGACACTATAAAATGTTATCATTCCTATGTTGAACACATTATGAGCAATGTAGCAAATAGTTACATTCGCATTTATGGTATGTCTAAACATATATTCCACAAAGGGGTGGATACTCGCCTAACGTCTAACAGTCCGAAGATGGAAATGAAAAAATAAACATAATTTGTGATATGTATGCAGTGTGCGTGGCTCACCAGCGGCGACAATGTTGTCGTAGACGTTAGCGGCGACATTGTCGACGAGTTGCGCCGTGGTGACGGCCGACGCGTGCACCGATACTAAATACGGCAGGCGCAGCGGCCGCCAGCGGGAATCGCACAAGTCTATGACGACGAGCTCCTCCTCAGCTAGCACCACCTGGAAAGAAAGACAAATAAAAATGTCTTTTATTTTAGCCCATAAACACTTTAGTACTAATAAAGTTATTATTATTATATTAGGTATTAAAATAGTTCTCTCATCTGGTTGGGCTGTACAAATACATAAATGGCAATGATAAATACACATATTATATTAATATATAATATAGTGAAATAAATACATAAACAATACGTAAATAAATAGAAAGCCAACCAGATGGAAGCCCTCGGCAGGGGTGACCAAACGACCGAGGGTTAAGGGGAAAGGGAAAGAACCCGTTATTATTATTATTATTACTTTCATTCGTAGGATCGATATGCTTAGCAATCGGATTGATGATCAGTGCCGGATGTCATTCATAACGCTGATCTGTGTAATTTAAATATGGGCATTTAAGGTGGTTATACCATTCTATAAGGTCATGACCTATCTCATAAGATATTCCTAGAATTTTTTCTATATTCATCAATTACGGAAAACCAACTGTGGGCGAAGTAAGTTATACGAAGTCATTAAAACTTGCCTTAGGGTTATACGCTGTGATGAAAACTTTTGTGTTGTCTTACCAGAGCTGCAGCAACTTGGTTGACGGCCTGGGCGGAGAGTTGTGCCGGTGTTTCGGGCCGCTCTTCTTGCACGGGAGCGCCATCTGGCGGTACCGGGGTCGTTGTGAAAAAGTCGATTACCTATAAAAGTGATGACTGCATAAAATAAATCTGTTAAAATATTGCTGCTGTTTCATATAGTAAGTGTAGAGAACAATATACCCCTTTTTCTTGTAAAGAGCCATTTTATTTTAGTTTTCAGGGGTTACAAGTAACAACACATCTAAATTTGATATAAAATAGAGCGTCGGTTTAATTATTGCATTAGGATCCGGGTTAATAGTGACATGAGTATTTTTTTTATAGGAACATCACCCTTATACTATGTTCAGTACTATAGCCCCCAAGTAACCATCAGTACTTCGAAGCGTTTGAAATGTAGGGTATTAAAAAATAAGTTAAGATTATACGGGATGAAATCCATAAAATTAGTTTTATTCAATATGATGCATAGTAATTGAAACTTAAAAGTACAACAAACACAAAGCTATCAATAAAAAATGCACTTACTCGACTTGTGAAGTCAAAGGCGACATGCTTTTCTCCTTGTTGTACTGTGACGGTATATTTGTCTGAGTATGATGCTCGGGGCATGCCACCTGTAGTTAAAAAAAGTTAAAAATGTAAATGTAAAGATCAGTTTGTTAGATAAAGTGTACCTTTTGTTGTTGAAAAGGTTACCGTTGCTAAACCAACGTATTTTACATATAGCATATACTACGTGACCAAAACAATTAGGCGCATGACAGCTAAGACGTCATTAGAACTAGGGAGGGAACATGGAACGGTGATTGGTCACTAGGGGAATCGCGGGGATAGAGACGGGGCGGGGCGCCGAAACCGCATCCCTGTCATGCGCCTAATTGTTTTGGCCAAGTTCAGTGTGGCCATATGTGGCAGGTTCCTGCCATTTTGGCAGGATTAGCCTCTTATTTTAGCCTCAGGCATGATCGTTTGACGTTTTACAAAACCTGGCAGTATTTGGCAGTATTGGGGTATTAAAAATAGATTTCATTAGGGCAACTTAAAATGACGAAAATGGCAACCCTAGATACTTCGCCAGCATGTTGGGGATTTCCCTATATTTCTCGATTTCTCATATTATGTTCGTATTATATTCAATAAACAACTTTAAAAAAAATTGTGTATAAAGTTGATAATCTTCAAACGAATTAATACGAGTTGGTTAATATTTCAATCAGTCATAAAAGACACGTACTTTAGTTTGGTATCGCATTAGATTTCATTTTAATAACATCTTGTTTATAATATTTCATGGACGATAATAATTATAGGTGGCGGTGATGAAGCGAAAATATTAACCGTATGTGAGTAAGTGGGTGCTGAGAGCAAGATCTTTTACTTTTATCGTGGATCTCCAAAGCTAAAGATTATCCAGACTGTGTAACTGCAAATTGGCACCGCGGCTGTCCGCTTTAAAGGAGCATGCCGCTACTAGCAAATGTCAAAAAATATGAGTGGATTCAACATGCGAAAGAATATTCTCGCAAATGAATTTAATTAAAACAAAAACACGAAACAGATTTAGAAACAAACATTTATTGTCTATCTTGTCCGTTAAACAAGGCATTGGTGAGCATGGTGATTGCATTGCATTCAAACCAACGAAAGATATGTTTAATTTTAATTTAAAAAAAATATAGCATTTATATGTGTATTTTTACTTTTCTTAGTTTCATACAATGGTAAATAAAGTTGGCAGTATTTAGACATTTTTCACTACAGACTTTGGCAGGGTTTTAACCAAAGTGAGGCAGGATCTGTTTTTTAAAGATGGTCACCCTGGCCAAGTTGTACACGATGTTTACACCACCATCTTTCAGAATCTACGAAATCTTGCTGGCATTTTCCATCCTTGACTCTTCACTACACCTTCAGGTTATGAGTATACTCTGAGCCCGCCACACGGAAAATTACATGGACACGTGAATATTAAAAATGTTTTCCAATTAACTATTCCAATTTAATGGCTAATTGTACACGTCGAATAAGTGTCGATAATAATATCGCGACACTTATTCTAGATATGTAACACACACGCACGCACGTACGCACGCGCGCACGTACGCACGCAAGCACAAATTTAAGAAGTGAGTAGAATTATGATGACATCCTGGTTGAATTTGACCGCGGCGACAAATTTCAAATATCATACGATATCTACTGCGCAACGACGATCTTATCACATCAGTCGTGCGGTTTATACTTACATATTATGTACTATATGTGTATCTTTTATCTGCGGTTAACCACTAGTGAAAAAACATGTATAAAAAGTTATTTACCAGCATAAATAATGATTTCCTCATTATCGACACTAGTCCTGATGAGAATTTTGGAGATGGCCTTGCAGGGGTAGGGACCATATGGTGTGATTGGCTCTTTTAACGGTCGATCGCTTGAAGCGCCTGCCACTTCCCAAGTAACGTATGATCCGTCGTTGTGGGACGATGTGAAGTGCTCGCCTAGAAAGAATGGAACAAAGGAAATTTAATTCGTTAAGCATTAGAGACAATAAAGTTAAATCTTTCCTATTTCTGCTTTCAAGCAGCCGTGTACGTGGTCTGTGGGATATTTCAGGTAAGTTCTTAGTAGTGACACGACATAATGTTGCCATCTATGTTCGAAGTTTGCTCCAGGTGTCTATTGGCTACAATAGTCACTTAACATTAGCTGTACTTTTAGCTCGTTTGTCATGTATAATAATAATAATTATATAATTATATATTATGATAGCCCCTTAGCAGTGCCAAATAAGTAGGGTGGGTGGTAGATTTAAAACATAATACTTTATATTAACCTCGTGAGCCTCCTGCTAACTGGCATCAAACAGTATTGTCAATCTACATAGCTTTGTAAGCAGTCCCTCTCTAGGGATAATGATTTGCTATAGTAAATTAGGGATGGCAGTATTTCAGTCTAGTTACTTTACATATTAAGGCATTTTAACCTTCTGAATGCGGCAAATTGACGACTCAGTAGTACAGTTGCTTAGCTGCGGTTGCGGCGCTGCAGGGCCGCGAGTTCGAATTCCGCACGGATCAAGTGTTTGTTTGGCTTGAAGATAATTGTTCCGTGTTGGGTCCATGTGCAATTTATGTATGTAAAACACCTCCACGAACCATAAGAAAATTCTAATGTGGGGTTAATTATCTATAAACAATAAAAAATTTAAACACATATTCCGTTACCGTTACATCCTATAAAAGTCCAAGAAAAAGGAAAAGGGAATACATTTTTGACTTTATAATAATTTCACAGGAATAGGTCACAAGAAAAATAAGTACCGTCGTCATTCCAACACAGGCTCTCCAACTGTTGATTAGATGCAAAGGTGTGTGTGGGTGAGGCGGCCACTCTGTCCCAGAGGATCACTAAACCACGGTTGTAGCCAATGAGCAACCGCGTGGGCACTTTTGGGTGCTCGCATATCGCTTCAACAGCCCCCGGATTTACTTTGAAGTCTTCTGGACAACTGGAAATAAGAACGGTATTATTTTTATTTCGCAATAAATTCTTAAAAAATATTTTTCATAGATGACACGAAATGTTGGAATGTCCATTGTTCACTCTCAGAATAAAGAAGTTGGTCATAATCACCACGCTTAGCAGATTGGATTAGATTGGCAATCGCGGAAACAGAAGTCCACTGCTAAACGTATTATACGTGGTAGAGCCATGCTGCAGTTATAATAGTAGTATAGTTGTAGCACGGATGGGTCGGTTCCACCGGGGAAGGACCACGCTCTCACAGAATACCAGCGTAAAATAGCAGCTTAACGCTGCTGTGTTTCGTATGGTGAGTGTATATATATGTGTGAGTGTTTATATTATTCTTACGTCCGTAGTGTCCTGGAATATTGCAGTGTTGTGTGGAATCCAAATGATATAACATACATACACGAAATAGAACGAATACAGAAAAAATTTATTAAGGCCTTGAATTTTCGATCTGAAAATAAAAAATTATAAAGAATCATGTAACTTCCATAAATTGATGCAGTTGAAAGATCGTCGAATTTTACTGCAGATGCTATTCCTACATGATATCTGCAGTAAGAAAATTGATAGCCCCGAATTAAGTTCCTGCACTTTACAACTACGAGCACCTACTAAACGCACTAGACATACTTCGTTATTTCATGTTCCTTCAAGTCGCTCAAATTATGCACAGAATTCTGTAATATGTCGCATACTTAAAAGTTATAATAAAGAATTTTCTTCGACTGACATCTTCCACCAAAGCAAATCAATATTTAAGAAGGAAATTATTATGTCATTAAGCAAGAGATAACACACACACACACACACACACACACACACACACACACACACACACACACACACACACACGCGCGCGCGCGCGCACGCACACACACACACACACACACACACAACACACACACACACACACACACACACACACACACACATTACACATGTAACATAAATTTCATTTCTGTTAATTATTAATTGTATTGTCTGACAGTATTGTTATTGTTATGTAATATTCTTCTTTTTTTGCTTATTGCCTGTTTTTATGTTTAAACTTATTTTTAAGATAACTTTTAAAAATCTAAGCACTATATAATTAATATCATTAATTTGTCAATTAACAAGCGATAGTATAAATATTATGTATATAAAGTAAGAACCTGTAATTGGCATTAAGGATTATCTGAGAATTTCTGTCTATATTTATAACGTGCAGTTGGTTCTATGAACAATAAAGAAAAAAAAAGTAGAGAACCGGAGACCCTTTCTACTGGAAACGAGGCATTCCATCTTAGTCCTCACGGGTGATAATGCATCTGCATTTTGATTCTTTATTGAGAATAAATGTAGATGTCTATGGGTCACAGTAACCACTTACCATCAGGTGGACTGTGTGCTCGTTCGTCACCCTATCCTATAAAAAAATATGGCCTGTATTCCCCCATGGAATGTCACAAAACACAGTCCTTAGCCACGTACACTTGCCCATCGGTTGTCAGTTTTTCAAGCTCTATAGCAGGCCCAGTGTCATTTCAGGTTACTGATACTTTGGGCTATGTCGGTTACTCTGGTTCCACTACGGATATCCTCATTACTAAGCCTATCGTGCAGAGAAACTCCGAGTATAGCCCTTTCTATAGGTCGCTAAGCGTTCTTGAGCTTCTCATATGGCCAGCAGTGAAGGACCACGTCTCAGATATACCGGCAGCACGCACTGATTGTACACTCTTTTTTTACAAGTTTTACGTTATTTGTATACGTGACGAGATGATGTGTCTTAAATATTCCGAACGCTGCCCAAATAAGTTAGGGTCGATTGACTTCGATTTTATTAAAAACTAACTGCCGGAACCCGGCACGTTGATGCCGCTAAATAATAATTGTGGTAATATCGTTTTAAATTTGGAAGAGTTATATTGTATAAAAGCTTTTAGAAAAATTTACTTCGCAAATATCCGCGTTATAAAATAAAATGATGTGTCTTACCTAGTATGAAGAGTACCTCCCGAGAGAGTTATTTTGTGTAATTGGGAATACTAATACCTACAATCATTGAAATGACATGATCTATAATTTTCAAATATATTGTCGGTACGATATATATACGCGCCAACTAGTATAAGTTAATTGTACTATGCCTATAACCTTCACGCAAGTGCAAGCAATAAGTTGATAAAGTTTTACCGCAATCTGATGAACGTTATGGCAGCGCATAAAATACAAACAAACAAACATTAATTTTTATATATTAGCTAAAATTGACTGCTTATAGTTAGTCCCAGCGCAGGGCAAAAGCCTCTGTGTGTATTCCTCATTCATTCGGATCATTTTTGACTTAAGTTCTAGAGATATTATTTATTTCTTAAGCATGCAAGTTTTCTCACGATGGTTTCGTTCACGACAAGATAATAGTAAATCAGCACTTAAAATTGCTAATAATAATTACGCTGGTGATTCTAGTGGAGTTGATATTTTACTTACTATGGCATTTAAGACGAGCGCTTATTTCCCAAGTTACCACGTTTCTTTACCGTAAAATATACTTATAATGAAAACAAGTACAACTCACTTTTGCATAACCACATCCTGATATATAACATCTTCGTGTACTGTGATTGTGTTCAGGTCCAGGCTGTATATATTCCCGCCTTCGGTGCCCATCAGCAAGTTCTTGCCAGTGGACTCCACGCACAGCGAAGATATCTTCTTGTTTTTGCCTTCGAATGTATGCGATTTGAGCTCCACCAGTGATTTTTCGTTTATCTCCCATAAGTGCAGACTGTTGTCGTCACATAGTGATACAAGACGACCTGTGCCTGTAAATAACAACAAGTATGTGAATTATTTAGGAAAATCGGGATAAATTTCTGCAGTACAAAGTTTCAATTATTTACAATTGGTTAACAGTTGCCAAGCCGAAAGGTGACGGCGTAAATAGAACAAAATAGGTAGATTAAAATGGAACACAATAATTTTTATTCAATAAGAAGATTACAAGAATAAATTATTGAAAGTCATTTTATACGCTTTTACCAGTGGTTCGAAAAAAACGTCTGTCCATGGAAGAACCAGCAAGGAATCCAGCGGGATTTTAAAAGAAAACATCTTCCATCATTTTTCATCTTGTTATATCATGCTCGGTAGAGCCGCGTCTTAGTGTCTGGCTGTAGCAATGCGATACGAATCCCGCACGGAAAATTAATTGTACGATCTAGAAATAATTGAGTCTGATTGTATGAGCTTGTGCAATTAATGTATGTAAAACTTGAGGGATTTTATATACACAAGATATTTCTACTGTGGGGGTACGAGACCTAATATTGAGAGACGTAAATAGGAATATTATAGACTTATCCTGAACTAAAACCAAGACCTTAGATAAACTATTTTTAATGTAAGATTTTCTTGGTCACCTTAATAATGAGCATTTAAGACGTTGTATATCATAATTCTATTCACCTATTAGGAATTTTGATATTACGACTGTAAATATTTTAATTGATAACTTAAACCTTGAAAAAGCAGCTGTTTAATAGCTGCAGCACGAATGAATTCATAGTATACAGAAGTGAAATGCGTTATAATGCTGCTGTGTTTAATATTGTGACTAACGAGAACTGGAGACACTTTTTACTGGTAACGAAGCATTACATATTAGTGCTTAGTGGTGACAATGCATCTGAATTTAGGTGATATGTAGATGTCTATGACGTTCACTTACCATCAGGTGTATAGTGTACTCGTTTGTCACGCTTATTTCTATAAAAAACAACGTTTTATATTGTTTTATTATTGAGGTAGTTAGGTTTTTAAATGAGTTATAGCTGATTATAGTAAATCTTCTTTTTGTTCTCCATCAGCTCGTGAAAATCCACAGCTGGACCAGACGGTGGTCAGCTGATCCATTTAACGAATCGAATCGTATTTAGTAATTTTTAAAAAAGTACGCTATTACCAATACCTACTCCCGTTAACCACGAAAAGTGATATACACTCTGTAAACACTAGGAACAAACACAAGCTAGTGATACCAGTTTCTCTACTCCACAGAGTCAGTAATTCATCAATGTATACGCTATTACAACAAAGTCCCTGAAAATATACAAGGTATCTCTATTACCAAGTTTAAATATTAAATTAAACAAAAGCTATATAAAAAGGGTTATTATAATATAAATTAATACATGTTTGATAATAACCCCTGAAAATGAGGTGGTCGCTCCCAAGCTGTTTCTAAAATTAATGTTGTAAATAGTTTGTACCACCTTTCATATTGTATAATTTATTTAAAAAAGAAGTCCCGCTGAGTTATTTGTTGGTTCTTTCCAGGACAGAGGATCCGAACCAGTAGTAAAAGTAAAAAAAAAACTTTCAATAAGAATTACATGTAATCTATATTGAATAAAAAAATATTATATTCTATTCTATCCAGCTATCCACAATCCTAGTTAACCTTAAGATGCCTACCTGTGTTAGTAGAGGGTTCACGACAGTAGTAAAATAGCGAATTTGAATTCACGATTTCCAAGTTTCATTAGCCGTAGGCACCTTAAACCAGTAGACTATTGTCACTTATTACTTTAAGTAAATACTTTATGTAGAAAGTCCCTGCTGTGAAGTGTAGAAATATAATTATATATTCGGTCTCACATAATAACTGATTTTAGGACTTTCCCGTCAACGAATGAATTATGCCTAAATTAACACGCGAGCATAAATATACGCAGAATGACATTCCGAACTTTCGACATTCTGTCCACCTACATACAGAAATTGCATCTAACAAGAAATACTGTCAAGGTGAAAAAGCAACGCACGCGGTTTCAAATAAGGTTATTTACCCCGTTTAAGACCATCCTAAAATATATACACGTACATAAACTTATTCGAATACTACGATTTGTCATTACTAGAGGTTAAAATAAAAACATTTTAACTAATGATGTTATGAACTAAATTTATAAGCACTACGTGTTCAGTGATGTGTGTAAGCAACAGTAAAAGCAATCAGCTAGTAATAGATAAATGAACCATTAAAATGTAAGTCCATAATTGTCCAGTATCACTATGAATGTTTTGCTTTAATTAGCTTGGATTAATTTACTAAATAAACATAAGGTTTTACTAAATAAACATTATTCAATGTTTAATAAGGACATAAGCCGCTAATGTCAGATACGGATAATGCGTTATATCAAACACAAAAAACTTCCTACCTAACTTTGAAATGTTCAGATCGATGCCCGACAGAAACATTTATGGGAACGTGAGTCACGTGAGGGATCTTGTACTGCAAATGCCATTCCGCCTATCAAAATGACGATTGTAGCAAATCCTCTTTATGGAATGAACTGGTTACAAGCTGATAATGGTCAGGAGATCGGGATTTAGTTAATGGTTTTAGAAATATATATTTTAAACAAAAGCCATTTTCCAATATGTAAAATAGTGAAAATAACAAGCCGAGTAATTATGTAATTAGTAATAATTAATAGCATGAGTCATCAAGCAGCTACATTTACTTAATTACAACTCGTAGCCTCGTCTAAAGACAAGTTGCATAACATTAATGGTCTCCGCATTGCATTGCATTAAAATGGAACATATTAAGTATTTACATGTTATATTAATTAACACCTGGATGTGTGATATTATTGCAATTAGGTTTAATTTGGATTTAATCTAATTATGACACAAGTTAAATAAATTTTATTCCTGCTTACAAATAATAAATTGTTACCTACTCGTGGATAATAAAAATTTATCATAAAAGTTAAATTTATAGCCTATATAGCGTCTTACTGCTAGGCACAGGCCTCCCCTCATTTCTGAGGGTTTTAGGAGGAAGTGTCCGCCGCGCTGCGCCAATGCGTGTTGGCGGACTTCATATGTCTTCGATATATGTTTTTTTTTTATTTCTCAGACATGCAGGTTTCCTCACGATGTTTTCGTTCATCGCCGAGCACGTGGTAAATCAGCACTTAAAATTGCAATTAAAAATTTCATTGGTGCCGGCGGGGATCGAACCCGGCTCGCGTACTGTGAAATTTACAGCGAGCGCTAACCATATGAGCTACCATTGCTCATCGTTTATTAATCCTTAACTAATGAAATATAATTCTTGTAAGTAGTCATTAATGTTTATACAATATGTCATCGTAATTAATCAAGCCGCAGCTGGACACAAGTCTCTCCAAAGAAGAGGGTTGACAAGCTGATTGGTGAAAGGTTAGATAGGCAATTATTGATACATTTGACGTTACGTCCCGTCGTCGGTCTGGATATTTTATTTACGTCTGGCTTTATATAGATGATTATTTTATTTTATTAACGTTTCCTGTAGTAACGACAGGGACGACCTGGGGTGATTAATACACTTAATAATCCGCCACTAACTAAGAGTGAATTCAGTTTTTTTTTTTATAGAATCACAGTGACAAACGAGCACACCGTCCAGTGTACACTGTAAGTGGATGCTGTGGGCCATAGACATCTTCATCTGTCCTCGAGTAAGAATCAAAATGCATATGTGTTGCCACCCCTGAGGACTAAGATGGAATGCTTCATTTCCAGTAAAAAGGGTCTCCGGTTCTTTACACTCATCATACGAAACACAGCAGCATTGAACTGCTATTTTACGCTGGTATCCTGTGAGAGTGTGGCCCTTCCGCGGTCGAGTCGACTCATTCGAGCTATAACCATAATAAAACTGTAGCATGGCTCTACTATGTAAAAAAAAACATATGTTAATAAATTTAAAAAAAAACTGCATAATTTCTCGTTACGATATTTCACAAATTACGATGTGAATTAATTCTGTTTAGGATAACGTATATATATGATAGATACAATAAGATTTTATCCGATTGATTTCGTTTAATGTCAAAAAGACTATGAAATTATACGAATAGAAACTGCCCTTACCAGGTATGAAATGAATTTGTGTAACCACTGCATCGGGATTGGTGTGCTGCCCATACAGTTCTACGCCTGGTCGCCCGTAGACCTTGAGGGCTCCTGTTGCTGTGCCTAGAGCGGCAAGTCGAAGGATAGGGTCCCACGCGAGGGCGGAAGCTCTATTCGGAAAGCCGTGTTGCACTGTCTGTAGACAAAGAAATGTAGTTAGTATAATGACAGGAACGTCCAATACGAGAAAGTTATTGAAAAGAAAATTGTGAAAGAAACGTCACTCCTTTATAAAAATTTTCAACTAGATCATGAAAGCGCTTTACATCCAAAAACATATTACAAATGTACAAACATTTCTTCCGTGCAGGATTTAAACCCGCGACCCTCTAGCGCCACAGCCATACACTTGCTATTGCCCTACTGAGCTGTTAAATCGACATAGTATATTATCAATGTATAAAAGTATTAACGTTAAACATGTGATTAAGATGGTTCACCGTGTACTGGCGGTGTGAGAATATTCAATACCCCATATCGTCCCGTGGGTGTCGTAAGAGGCGATGGAGGGAAACTGAAACAGGAGATGGGCAGCGGCATATTCCCAATAACAACGCAAAATAATAAAAAAACTGCGGTTGCCAAACGTAACAACTATGTCAATTACTCTCCATGAGGCAATCCATGGGGGAGTTCTATGTTAAGAAGTAGACTTTTACAGGCTGTAATAGACGTGATAAAGATTGACTACGTGAACATTTACGATGATCCCAGAACAACGTGTCCATCTAACATTTTATTAGTCATACCATTAATAAACATAAAATGACAGCAGTCTCGATAGATGAACATTGTAAACTCTTGGTGTAGGTAACATTTTGGATATTTATGTTAAAACTTCGGTGTTAGCATTTTTCGTTTAGGTTACAAAAGTGCAAATTCAGCAACGTATCATGATACCGACACCTGAGAGGAAGCTGGGTTTATAAATATTTAGTTTGTGGTAGTTTGCGCATTTGTAAACTTACTACAAAGTGTTAGACGTTGTACAAACAAACTATCCTAGCAAAATTCTATTGAAAATTTAAGAATTATTCTTTTGACGTAGTTGATAATTAATAATTTGGTTTTTTCTCCAACCGATTAGGATATTAGTAAGCTTTATAATATTGTAATCTCTTCCAGACGAAATGTCGGGCACGATGGCCGAGATATACGAATGGAGCTAGCCATGCAGAGCAGGACAGCATTATAATACACGAGTGTCTGTGTAATCACAGGTGCACTCTTTGTTCCCAAACATTTATAGTCATATAGGACGGTATTTGACACGACCGGAGAGATCAAGCGCAGAGCTAGGCTTTACGTGCATTTCGAAGGACGGGGATAGAATACCGTCAATTTTCTAACAAAGAGTTGCTGCAGAAAAACGCAATAACTGATTTTGCCCCGGCCCTGGATTCGAACCCAGGACCCTTGAATTGTCGCGCTAACGACCACTAGACCTACGAGGCAGTAAAGCTTAGCTTTATGAAAGTGTATAATGTAAATCAATTAAGGGTCAATATTAGTTGTATATTACAAACAATAATTAGAATTAAGAATAACAAATGAGCAAACAGTTCACCTGCTGTCTGTGGCTCATAAAAACTACATCTATTCTCGATTAAAATGTAGTGGTGTTGTCGGTCCCGAATAACCTAAGACGGAATACCTTGTTACCTCATTACCAGCAAAATAGGTCTGTTGTTTAATAATAATTTATGCTTGTTTCTGTTGCTGCGTGGCTCTATTAAAAAAGAGCGTGTAAACCGACTTTACCTAAATAATGATTTCAATATGATGTGCTTCGTGCTTAGTATGTTGTATGGGTTAGATGACAGATGTACAAATTTTAATTTAATCAAATACCAAGTCATAAACGTAAGTTATTATTTCTATTTTAATGATGCTCATGGGCCATGATGTACTTAGCCGACTCTCTAAGTCACCACATTATATTTCAATACTAATGTATAATTAAAAAAAGAATGGATTTAACTTCTATATTTATTTTTGTTATTTTAGAAGATAGTGCGTATTCGGCATTATGGGCATCTTTTTTTATCTTGTATTTGTCAGTATAAGATTGTAAGTATAGGATTCGGCTCCAGCACGCAACAGATATTTGTATGCCCTACAAAATAATTGTTTCAAATCTGCACGTTCGTATCAAAGTGTAATTTACGTATGTGAAACGCCTCAGGGATACAGAAAAATTTCCTAGTATGGAATAAGTTCAAAATAAATTAAAGTGATATAAGACTTAAAGGAAGACAGTAACATATATTTGTAGAGCACGTGGAGACAATAATAAAAAGGCAAAAAGAAAAACGAATAAACTATAGTATAGAGATCAGCATCATGTCACGCTCTAAAGCCCGACGCTGGTTTTCATCTTCAATCTACGTGCACCGATGTCGAATTCAAATTATAGCATAATGTGTACTTAGAATAGCACAATGCATAAAGGCGATCAATTAGAATTAATTCGACGTTACGTCACGCTATTAAAAAAACACTGCAAGTATGACGAGCACGCAAGTGGTAGGAAACAACACAGTATGATGTCACTGGACAATTACAGCCGCGGTGCCCGCTTTCGTTGCCAAATGACATCATTTTACGAGGACAATCTGTGCACCGTACACAATGCTTCATAATACTGTTCGACGCTGCACTGCAATTGCATTTCCTCGTTAAATAACCATTTTGTGTAATTTTTATATTATTTTCTAGACAGGTCTTCTACTTAGGTCGTCCTGTATTGTGAAGGAGTTTTACATAAATTGTATAATATGTAGACCAACCCACACATTCCAGACCCGGAACAATTAAGTAGTATAAGAGACACCGCACACTTCAGACTTTCTATCGGGCGAGAGTTTATTCGGTTTCTTAATCAGTATTGAGATGTTTGCAAGTGCGCATATTATAACGATTAGTTCTCGGTCGATAAATCAGTTTGATGGGTTACACGATTCCCTTCAAACTGAATTGTTAGTCAACTATCGGCCAACTGCTAATTCAGTACGGCGCTCTTTGACGCGCGCATACACGCCGATTGTTTTGTCGTCCGACTCGGTCGATAATGTCACTTCGCTCAAAATTTTTGCGCGGAATAGAAGTGCGCATACATCAAAATGGTGCTGTTTGTCGTATCATCTATTTTACAGTTGATAGATAGACGAAGTTGAAATATGCTGTAAATTTAAAGAAAAAGATGGGGGAAGTAGTAATCTGTCACTGTTTATAAGATGCACCAGAATTCTCGGTTTCTCTTTTTGATCCGTCTTCTTGTATAATACCAATAATAATAACATTTTTGGACAATATCTTAGGTTTCACTACACGACTACTCACTTCAAAAGCCTCACTAACTACAATTTTTTCGCAAACGATTGGCCAGCTGTTGACTAGTGTGCGCCTACAAACCCAACTGTTTAATCGGCCGAGTGTGCGCTCTAGCCCAACCCGACTAAACTCTCGCCCACTGTTACCAACCCTACTGTTTTAACAGTAGATTTGCTGTTTTCACATTGATTTCAATGTTTTCTGTTTCATTCCTATTTTCTACTGCTTTTCAACTAGCGTTCAGCGCCACCTATTACATGCTATGCAAACATTTTTTGATAACCACTACGTAATAAAACACAATGACACTAGATGGCAGTATCTTCTTTAGTCGGGATTCGAGGGAATTCCCGACCACATTATATGTGTTTGACAATCATATTTTTATGCACGGGGAAATCCCAATTTATGAAAGACAGCTACACGCCTATTGTATTGCGTATTGTTTTATAGTCACAACACCTTGAACAGTTTCTTTGAATTGCGGCGTCTATTTAAAAAAAAAAACAATAATTATAGGTAACGTTTTTGATAAAATGAGTAGTGATTCATCGACTGGGAAAAGTCCTCCTAAGAAGAAAAATGTGAAATATGAACAGAAATTTGTAAATTTGTGGTTAAAAAATCAATTTGTGGTTCAAAGGCTGGTTAAAGAAAAGCACTAAAGGTGAGACTTATTTCTTGTTCTGCGTGTAATTGCGACAGAAAATGTGGTATACACGAACTGTTACGACACAAAGATTCAACAAAACACGCGAAGAATAGTTTGAAATTACAAAAACAACAAAAACTGACATCAATGTTTACCTCAGCTTCCAACTCACAAGACACAAAAATTATAGCTAAAGCGGGTGAAGTAAAAATGGCCTGCTTTATTGCTGAGCATAATCTGTCTTTTAACATAGCATCTCATTTGAATAAATTGATTTGCGCTGTATGTCCAGATTCGAAAATTGCGGAACAATTATCAATGATCCGCACAAAAGCTAGAGCTATTATTGCTAATGTAACTGGGCAGACAGCAGAAGAAAATATAAAAGAGATGTTACAGAACAATTGCTTTGCATTACTTGTTGACGAAAGCACAGATAAGTCTACGATAAAACATTTAGCGCTTGTCGTAAGAATAGTAAAATTAGATTTCAGCGTTGAAGGTAGATTTCTGACTTTAATACCAATCGTAGATGGTACAGCAACAGCGTTGTATGGCAAAATAGTAGAATATTTTGTTGAAAAAAAATATTCCTTACAAATCAAACATGATAGGCTTTGCTTCTGATGGTGCTAACGTTATATTTGGTGATAAACATTAATTGGTCACTTTCTTTGAAAATGACATACCTCACCTTTTTACTATGAAGTGCATTTGTCATTCTTTTAACCTTTGCGCATCATACGCATGTGAGAAATTGCCAAGGGGCGTGGAAGATTTCTGTAGAGACGTATATAATCATATACAAAATTCTCCAAAACGTATTGGAGATTTCAAAACATTTCAAGCATTCACAAATATTAAACCACACAAATTGCTCCACCCTAGCCAAACCAGATTGTTGTCACTTATTGAGGTAGTAAATAGGCTTCTGGAACAATTACCAGCTATAAAATTGTATTTTCAAGCTGCAGTTCATGTAGATAGATTACTTTCTGCGCAATCAATTCTCTCCAAGGCTCTCGAACCGACAACTGAATTGTACCTGGAGTTTTTGAAATTTGCATTACCTATATTTACCGACCTCAATAAAGAAATTCAATCCGAGACTCCGAAATTATATTTACTATACAACTAAATACTGACCGCAT